CCAGAGTTTTTTTACTAGTTACAAAACTTCAGGGTTTCCTGAGTACAAGTTCACCAACAACCTCTTGAAACGAGTGCATTAAAATTAACACGCATTGCAATGGGATATTGATGAACTTGTACTTAAGACAAATTCTTGAAACAATGCCCTGACGTTAAAGAGAAGGTTGAGTTCTGGGAAGAGGTGAAAAATTATTTGTGATCGTTATCATTCTTATTATGCAAGTGTGGAAGAACATCAGATAAGACATGTTCCCTGAAAAGCATGGCACTTCAAATGCCTTCATATTCTAAATATGTCATGTAGCATCGTAAAAATCCAGGGTAGGATTTTTACGCCACATGTTTGTGTAGTCCCATATACATCTTTCTGTGTGCAGTGTTTGTAACTTTACCAAGACTTGGCCAAATTTCTTATCATTTCAATGATTCTTATATACTAGATGATCAACCTTTTCTGGTCGATTCCACACCGTTTCTTTCACAATGCAATCGCATGACCAGAACTCAACTTCTTCTTTAAACCCTTAGTTCTGGATAAATTATGTAACAAAAATTGGGAACAAAATTATTTTTAACCATGGATACAAGTTCTTGTATCTTTATTTACTTGCGAAAAGTCAAGATACTCTTTTAACAGAAAGGGTTTGCATTTTGCTGTCAATGAATCAGTTGACTTACTTTGTAATCTAATCTTCCAGGCAGGAAGTCGGGCCATTGTCTTTAACAAAAATGACCTGTAATTTCTCAATGATAATAATAATAATAATAAAGTCATTTTTATATAGCACATAATAATAAATTCTATATGCGCTTTACAACAATCAATTATACAATATATTACACGATTAATCTAAAGATTTAAATATGCATGAATTAACAGAAATACATATCGTATACAATGATGAAAAAAATCAGATATAATATAAATGGTATAAACTTATGATTACAATAATAGTTGAATAATTACGATCTTATTGTAGAAAGGAAATAACATTATTTGACATACACTAGCATATAATTAACAGACTATTGGATGAACATGATAATTTCTACAATCTATTACAGATCTGACCCAGCTAACAGCAGTGTGTGGTTAGTCGCCCCGCTGATCTCGAAACTGCCCAGTTCGGTCCAGGGACGGGTGCTGAAGCAAGCCGGGAACATCCTGGAGAGCGTTGGTCAGACCTGGACCTCCAAGCCATCAAGCAAAGATAAGGATAAACAGGGCCAAAGAAGGTAGGATTGCTGGGGATATTTGTGGAGTGAAAAGTGTAGTACAGTCAAACCTGTCTACAGCGACCGCCTAAGGGAAACAAAAAATGTGCTTGTTGTTGACAGGTTCCTTTAGTACATGTTTCAATGAGAAACCATTTTCAAGAGGAAAAAAATGTGCTTGTTGTAGACAGGTGGTCTTTGTAGACAGGTTCCTTTAGTACATGTTTCAATGAAAAACCATTTTCAAGGGAAACAAAAAAAATGTGCTTGTTGTAGACAGGTGGTTTTTGTAGTCAGGTGGTCACTAAAGCAGTCAAACTGAAATGGCAGACAGCGAATAAAGATCACTCAAGAAAGACAAGAAAAGTGGTCTTTGTATGCAAGTGGTTGCTTTAGTACAGGTTTCAATACAAACCGACTTTGAAGGGAAACAAAAATTGAGGTCTTAAGGCAAAAGTGGTCTTCATGTACATGTTCCTTCAGTACAGGTTTCACTGAGAACCGATTTTCAAGGAAACAAAAATGTGGTCTTTACTCACAGGTGGTCTTTCTATACAGATGGTCGTTAAACCAGGTTTGACTGTATCTGAATGGTAATTTGGTTCTCTTTAGTTGCATCAAGGTAGTAGAAGTATTTTTTGGCTTCTTTCCTATCGATATGTTTTCACATGTTCCCCTTTGCTAGAAAATATGTGATTTTGCTAAGCTATATGTAATTTAGAAAGATAGTTACGTCACAGGAAGTTGCTCCTTATTGGTCATTCATGTCATAGTGCTCCAAATGGTTCACTCCTATAGAGATTGTGCGTGGATGGAACTATTTGGAGCTCCATGATAGACCTATGTCCACACTCGATTATGCGTATATGTGTGAGTCACAACTATCTCTCTCAGTATGCTATGGCTAAGACTTTGTTAGGGTTGGATGTCAATCTCTATGTATCAACACAGATAGAAACTGAAATTAGAGAGTTTTTGTCATTATCTTGACCTGTTCACAGCCAAGCATCAACGGTCAGTCACCAGCCTTTGCTTTCTCTGGTGTTGACCTGCCTTAAGGGTCAAGACGAACAGAGGGAAGGTCTCCTCACATCCTTGCAGACTCAGCTAACACAGTTCCTACAGTCCCCAAAAGATGTGAGTAAAATTATTTCATGACATACAGGTATATGATATGCTCTGGAAAGAGCTGTTCTGTTATCTTTATCTCTTCTAAAACAAAATACTGGAATTAGCTCATGCTGCAATGATAATTATAAATCTTTAGGTCAGTCAGGAATCCCATGACTTTTACAAGTGGATCACCTGTCTGATTATCAAGATATTTATGATTGGAAATCGAAATCAAATTTTTTCGTTTTCCTAACGGGTTTTATAACACAGCAGTCTATTGGGGAAAATGAGTATGGTAAAACCGGTCATTCAAAGAATTTTACTTTTTTGAGGCACTTCATGATCATTTTAAAGTGCAATTTGTTTAGGGCTTCAATATTACACCAAATCACTAACACTGATAACACGTAGGGCCATGCATGTCAGATTTAACATTGTTAAATGATGCCTTTAAAGAGAAGGCTGAGTTTCTGGTAAAGATGAAAAGTAACTTGTGAGCTTTCTCATTCTTTGTATGTCAAGTTTGGTTTAGAAGGATGGCTCTTTAAATATTCAAAATATGACAAATTAGAGTTGAAAAGCTTGGACCCAACCGTCATGCCACATGCTTCTAGCTCATATACCATTTCTCTGCGTGCAACCTTGTGTGTGGAACTTGTGATTTTCAGCATTATTGAGTCAATTTCGTATGTACTATTTTCTTTCACAATGTAATCACATGACCAGTACTCAACTTTATCTTTGCAGAGTAACTATGGCCTAACACATTACTTAACCTTCATAATTCTAACCCTGGTTTTGTGTATTCTACTTGTGTTTCAGGACCGCTGGGAGGACCCTAAAAGCAGAAGACTAATGCACGAAGCTCTGCAACTCCGACTCAGTTTGGTAAGGCTAAACCGCTTAATTGTCTGTAGTTAAAAACATGCTCATTCCTAGTATTAAGTGATTTTTTACATGGATGCTTTTGAATGTAAATGTCAGTGTTTCTACACTGCTTGTTTCTGCCTTTCATACTTCACCAGTTAGTACCATCATCTATGTATGTATTTTGCACTGTCAGTATCATATTGATTCATTGGTTATATTTTGCTTCCAATATTTGGAACAGACTACCTTTAAAGAGAAGGTTGAGTTCTGGGAAGAGGTGAAAAATAATTTGTGAGCGTTATCATTCTTATTATGCAAGTGTGGAAGAACATCATATAAGACATGTTCACTGAAAAGCATGGCTCTTCAAATGCCTTCATATTCTAAATAAGACATGTACATCGTAAAACTAGGGGGTAGGTTTTTTACGCCACGTGTTTGTGTAGTCCCATATACATCTTTCTGTGTACAGTGTTTGTAACTTTACCAAGACTTGGCCAATTTCTTATCATTTTGATGATTTCAGAACCTTGCAATACACACAAATTCTTATATGCTAGATGATCAACCTTTGTTGATTCCACACCGTTTCTTTCACAATGCAATCGCATGACCAGAACTCAACTTCATCTTTGAATGTCAAAAACTGTCAAACTGTTAACCTATTCAAAACTAGTCTTAAGGCACATTTATTCAAAATTACTTTTGATGATTCACTTTGATGTGTATTCCATATGTATTGTAATTTGTAGGTTTATTTGCACTTTTTTGTTTTGTTTAATATGTAATTGTGTATCAGTCTATTTTGTTTGTTATAGCGCTTAGAGACTTTGGTGGTAAGCGCTTTATAAGTAACGTTTTTATTTATTATTATTATTATCTATAATATTAGGTTGGGAATATGTTTGATACGATTATGAGGAGTAGTCTAACATGGACCACAGAGTTTGCTCTTCTCTTACTCCAACTCATCACCACGGGAACAGTGGATACACATACCAACAAGTAAGTTTTTAACCTTCATCGATATCACCATCATCCGCAGCAATATTACTCATCATCATCATCATCGTCACTATCATCATCAGTATTGACAACACCACCACAATTTTTGTATTGTCTGTATAAATGAACAGGTTAAAAAGCCTCATCATTTTTTATGAACACTGCCATCATCATCATCACCATTTTCATTGTCAGTTTTATCTTTAAAATCATCCTTATCATCATTACCATCAACATCAAGATTATGAAATTTAATATCTACACTGTCAACTCCAGCTTATCAATGACCATATCGGTAGTAACTGCACCATATATCAATATATATATATATATATATATAAAATAATGTTCTAAACCCTTTGGTTCCTATATTTTCTATGCATATTAAGTACACTATATTCCTAATTTCAGCTTTGAAAGGTTGGGAGGTATGTATATGAAACATATCATTAGAATCAACATAAGCATTGATATCAGCATCATACATGTATATACGAATGATCTATCATGATTATCGTTGTTATATTTTTGCTACAGTGAGCTGTTCACTACCGTCCTGGACATGTTATCAGTTCTCATCAATAGTACCTTGTCATCCGATGCTAGCGGGAGCCCTGGTGCAGGGGAGGAGAAGGGACGATCGCACCAGGCTCTTATCAAGAAACTCAAGGTAACCCAATAAAAGAACAATGGAATACCATTAGGTTTAATGTGCTTTATCAGGATTGGGAAAGAAGACATGGTCTGCTGCACAAGCATGTATGAATTTGTGATACATTAGTGCTACATCAACTTAAAGGTATAGACCAGTTTTGGAAACGTCCTCCTCTCAAAAAATGAAAATGGAAGCTCTTATCACCAATCATGTGAAAGAATATGTTTTGACTAATACGTAATGATACTAATTTTGCTGGGAAACCGCCTACTAATTGATAGATTTGGTAAATTATCATATCTATCCGGTCTGGATAGATATCGTGTAGTCCTATATACATCTTTCTGTGTACAGTGCTTGTAACTTTACCAAGACTCATGGACTGAGCCAAATTTCTTATCGTTTTGATGATTCCAGAACCTTGCAGTACACACCAATACTTACATGCTACATTGTAGAGGATCAACCTTTTCTGATCGATTCCACAACGTTTCTTTCACAATGCAACCGCATGACCAGAACTGGTCTATACCTTTAAAGTTGAAGATATTAACATGGTATATTGACTGTTAATGATTTGAAAGTGCCACATAAATCACAGTAATGATAATGATAATAATAGTAAGGAGAAACCTCTTGTGACTGTATGATGAGAAATGTGTGTTCATCCCACTGTACTTTTGTTATCCTTCACAAAGTAAATCTATTTTGTATTTGAAGAGCTCAATTCCGAAAGTAGCTAAATCCACTTTTGATGAAAATTGAATAATTGATAACAGAACATTGTTTACTGAAGTACCCGTCTTTCAACAAAATCATTTACCTAAATTTTGGGAGAAATTAAGAAAAAATGCACCTTCTAATATCACTTTTCCATAGACGCCTGTACAAAATCTGGTAAACAATTTCTTTTTTCTCTGAAGTTACATAAATGGATTTAGCTCCTTTTGGAATCAAACTCTTCAATTTTGTTGAGTCCATATTTCGAAGGTTTCACTCAATCTCACTCTCACCCTCTTGACGTATAGAAAGAGGTTGGTGACAAGCATTCAGATGGGATCAACCTGGTCCGTCAGCTCCTACCAGTCCCTAGGAAGACCATCGAGGTCATCACCTGTGAACCCATGGGAAGCCTCATTGACACCAAAGGCAATAAGATCACTGGCTTTGACTCCATTGATAAGAAACAGGTATGTCTACCAGCAATTGGTCACGCTGAACATTTCAGGCCTGATGATTACCCAATTTAAATTGGTTTCTTGATTTTTAAATTTTTTTCCCCAAGTTTTTCTTGATTTTTTTTTCTTCCCGATTTTAATTCCCGCATAATTTAATTTCGATTTCCAACCATAAATATCTTGATGATCAGACAGGCGATCGGCTTGTAAAAGTCATGGGATTCCTGACTGATCTAAAGGTTCATAATTATGATTGCAGCATGAGCTGAATCCAAGATTTTGTTTCAGAATCTGAGACAATGTTACAGAGTCACTTTAAGAATGAGATCAGCCTCAACTCATTATATGGAAACTATGCAGTTTATTATTATCCTGTCTTTCTCAGGGCTTGCAAGTATCAGCTAAGCAGAAGATCAACCCCTGGGACACCTTGGAGATCCTCAAGAATCCTGCCCCACTTTCATGGGCGTGGTTTGGTGGTATCCGCATGGAGAGGAAACCCCTCATGTACCAGGAGCAGTACCGGCTTACACTCTATCACTCACATAACCAGGTAAGAATACCACTAGCAGGCTTCTCCACTTCTACAACTAACTTTGTAATAGATCCTCAAGAACCCCGCCCCACTTTCATGGGCGTGGTTTGGTGGTATCCGCATGGAGAGGAAACCGCTCATGTACCAGGAGCAGTACCGTCTTACACTCTATCACTCACATAACCAGGTAAGAATACCACTAGCAGGCTTCTCCACTTCTACAACTAACTTGCAGAACCTACTGTACTCTTTGTAATAGAGTACACTTCAATCAAATATACTTGGGAGGAAGGACATGTTGGTTGTAATAAAAATAATATTCTGTTCATCTTTAGTTCATATTGAATTAAGATATAATGTCTCTATGCGCTTCCTAAGGACTTCGGATAATATTATCACGGCTTTAGCTCCAGCAAGTGTAGCGCTAGGTGCATTCAAGGAATTACTCCTTCCTGTTCCTTCACTGTTCCCAGGTCAAAAACGACAGCCACTACTTCGACCCGCCCCAAGTCCCACCCGACGAGGAGGAGCCTCCGCCCCCAATCAACCTGGAGGCGGAGAAACCCGCCCAGGAGATGGACACCAGCCAATCAGATATCAAGGTGGGCGTGGTCATACCGGTAGAGGGCTCCAAGGAGACGACCAACAAGAAGGGGAAGAAGAGGACAAACCGCAAGAGACCTGCACCTACCCCAGCCCAAACTCCCATGAGGGAGGTAAGAAATCCTAAGATTCATGTCATTCGCTTGAAGTGTCCCATACATCCTTTCTAATGAAAACCAGCTGTGGATGCGACATTTTTAGGTATCTTTACTGAGAAGTTGGGGGTGAATCTGAAATTTTCATGTACCTTTTCATGACTGTGATCTACTGCTCTATTCTAATTTTCAGCTGTAGACTGGAAGTTGGTAACTTTTTCTTTCAAGAGTTGTACCATTTTGCATCATTTCATTTAAGGAGAAAGCTTTGAAGTCTGCATTGTAATTTATCTTACCATTTACGTAATCTGTAGTACAGGTACATGGAAATACATTTTAGGTAGTCAGCAGCTTAAAATAAGCTTCAATTGGCACTAAATCGTCTCTTCCTTTCCGTAATAATTTCCCCTTTTTGACCCTATGTATTATTTTGCCCCCTACATGTATGTATTATTTTGATTCTTAGTATTCTCAATTTCTCATTGCCTCTCTTCTCTCTCTCTCTCTTTCTCTCTCTCTCTCTCTTTCTTTCTCTCTCTTTCTTTCTCTCTCTCTCTCTTCTCTCTCTCTCTTTCTTTCTCTTTCTTTCTCTCTCTCTCTCTCTCTCTCTCTCTCTCTCTCTCTCTCTCTCCTCTCTCTCTCTTCTCTCTCTCTCTCTCTCTTTCACTGTTCACTTTTATTTCTCCTCTCTTTTCTCTCCCTCTCTTTTCTCTGGCTTCCTTCACTCTCTTTTACATAACCATATAATTTATTTTACTAGCCTTACATGTACATTGATTAATTTTATGTTATTCTCATATAATTTTCTTACTAACCACCTTGTTACTTTTTTGTTTTCCATACCTACCCTCCCCCTATGCCTTTCATACCTGAAGCCTTTTTATTTTGCTCCCCCAAACCTATGCCGCCCACCGCCCAGGGGCTATACCATAGAACAGGTACTATGTACCCTAGCCGTAGCTCGTGCCTGCTTTATTGCACTAGAGAGTAGAGCTAGCTCATATACAACTTTACATGAAGTTTAAATTAAAGATGCCTGATGTACTTGTAATGTTCATTGAAGGCCATTCTTTGTTCAACAAACTTGAGGCTTCACAAACCAAAGGGTTTTCGGTAACACCATTTCACAGAAAAAAAATGTTCCTTAACCATGGTTATAACTTCTTGTCTGATGTGGATGGCCAAAGCTGGTAAAATAAAGCTGTAAGACTGATGGCATTAACAGAAAAAAGTCCTGACAGCTTTTAGATTTTATCTGGGAATTTGTATCAGGTTATTTGGAACACAAATCTTGAGTTCCTGAAAAAAGGGATATTTAGATCAGACATTTTCATACTGAGCATGGGGATATACATGTAGTTTGGTGCATAGCATACTGAGAGAGATAGTTGTGACATGGACTCCTATGCATACACGAGATTAGTCGTAGGTTAAATCATGGAGCTCCAAGTTGTAACTATCTCTGTCAAGTAGCTGCTGTTCGATGTGAGGATTTGTGAAGGTGGTAGGAGGATATCTGGGGGATGCCAGTGTTCAGGATCTGGTTGAATTTAGGCCCTATCACCTCTCTGTTTTATTAGGCTTTTTCAGGTTTCATTGTGTACAGAATCTAAGGGACCCAGCATGTCTGGTCTCTTCTTTTCTGGACAGTTGAGCAAATGCAACTTGTATCCATGATATCTGTAATATGTAATTTGAACATATAACTTTCACTACCTACATATAAGTACAGCTGTACAGGGGGCAATTAATAATAATGGTTGCTTCTTATATAGCGTACATATCCGTCATGTCGCAACGCTCCTGGCGCTGCCCTGATTATTACCCTGGCTTTAGCAATGTGGCCATTACGGCGCTCTAGCATTTCAAGGAATAAATTCCTGTAGGTGATATTTGAGGTCCCATTTAGACATGACATGGTAAATCGACTTGAACAACATTGCAAGTAAAGGTTTTTTGGCAGTCAGTAGGTAGGCAGTAGGCAACTTTAATAGGGCTAACAAAGCATACTTTGGCATCAGTGGGCCCTATGTAGAAGTGTCGTAGTCGAGTGGTTTAAGCACTTGACTTGAAATTCAAAGGCAGTGGTTCGATCCCGTACACGGCACTAATGTCCTCTGGCAAGGCATTAATCTTCATTTGCCACACTCGACCCAGGTGAGGTAAATGGGTACCTGGCAGGAATTAATTCCTTGCAATGCTGGAGCGCTGTAATGGCAGCTAGGCTAAAGCAGGGATAATAATTAATGCGCCTCGGATTAAAACTTCTAGATAGACGGCACTACAGAAATGCCTATACTTATTATTACTATTAATTATGCAAAACCAATGCATGGTTTACTAATCATGTCTAAATGAAACTTTAATCCACACAAATTTTTAGAATATAATTAAATTACCCTAGGTCTTTCAATCTCAATCACTTAATGATCATTCTTTACAATTGCCACACATCATCCCTGATCCAAGGACTCCTTGCACTGCACCATCGTACATACAGACCCTGATCAGTTTCCTATTTAGATAAGAATTCATGTGCACCACCAACACTTCACATAGACTTGCAATTAAATGAATATATTGTACACTGCCTGCATTAGTCTGCTGATAACTTCACATATATTGTATAAGACATTTTATTACCTTTTCTCATTTTCTTCACCGTCGCGTTAATGAAGTTGTATGTCCCTTCAATATTTACTCAAGGAATAGTCATAGAGTTTTGGATAAACATTCCTTTCCTCACAAATCATTCTATTCATAATTTTAGTCTCACATGTTCTTCTCTTAAAGGTAATACAAAGTTTTGGGAAACTTTGAAAATTGGGTGAATAGTGATTCTTTACAATTTTGATATATTTGGATGCCCCTGTGGATGTATTATAAGTACTAACAAAATTAGCTCCTAAAACACTTCTGCTTTCGAGAAAAATTGAATATAAAAATTTACCGGTGCTCCCTGTAAATTTTGATAAATTTCAAATAGCGTATACGGCCGTACAATAGTAGCTGCGACCCTGAAAACTTCAGAATATGTAGTTTTGATATATAACTACCAAACGGGAGTAGCTTATCGGTCAATTTTAGTCAAGAAACATTGTTTTATAGCTTAATTAATATCTTGACCTTGAGAGGGCGCTATACAACATAAAGAGTTTATTATTTATAATTTCATAACTTTAGACTCGATTTCAACCGCCACAACGATCACTGCATATTGTAGGATCGCATATGCTTCCAATATGTTCATTTGAACCAAATTCATGACCCCATACCAAAACTTTGTATTACCTTAAAGTTCACTTTATTTCACTGAACTTCTTTGTTTCACTATCTTTGCTTTACTTCAATTTACATAATAACTTCACTTGACTTACTTCACTTAATTTCCTGTACTTCACTTAAATCCACTTAACTTTGCCAACTTACTTCACTTAAATTTTGCTACACTCAACTTCACTTGAATTTCACTTAACCTCATCAACCTTCACTTGTCTTGACTTCACTTAAACTTCACTTAAACTTTGTTTAACTTTTCTTCCCTTACCTTTAGTTAGTTTATTTGATATCACAATACCTAAAATTACTTTACTTCACTTAATTTCACTCTATATTCACTTAATTTTGTGTTTTACTTCACTTCACTTCTCTTTACCTCACTTACCGCCTCTCTAAAATGTTGGGAGCCGAACAAATTGGATAACAAAAAGTCACTTCAATTGTGTAACGATGTGCAAGAGGATATTATTTAACACTCAACTCTTAAGGTTCTGCCTACAGCACAAAACCCAAGTTTTGTATTCTTTCATCAATATTCTTCTTCAAACACATTTGTTTTGAAAATCCTTGCAGAATTTAGTATACTTAAATGACATCTCCTTGAAATGATTACACAACGTAAGTGAACGTTTGGCATCAAATTTGGGGCTCTCAACACTTGACAGGGGCTACTTCTTAAATAAAATAAGTTCACTTCACCTTACGTCACTTAAAAAGTAACAGTTAATGAATCATGTCCCTATGTAACTTAAAGATGGAGGGGGGGGGGCAGTTTAGTCGAGACTTTTGTATTGATATGTTCATAGAATTATGTGAGTTCATATGATAAGGAACAGTACTTTTAAAAAAAAGCTACTGATGTTGAAAGCGTTCGCTTGCACTAGATGTTTATAATTTTTTAATGTAAATTGTCCCACAATGGACATTTCACCAGTATCATTATGACCATGTGATTTTGTATTCTTTCTTTGACTAGCAACCTTATCCTTTCAACTCTGGAATGAGTGGCTATCCCGATCGGAACTTTGTCCCGTCAGCCATGTTACCACAGGGACAAGTGCCTTTCCAGCAGCCTCTGCCTCCAGGTAAGTGGTGTCCATTGCTCCCATATTTGCTACGGCGACAACTGCTATGATCTTTAGGGATAGGGTTAAGATTGGTGTTAGCGTTAGTTTTGGTGTTAGGGTTAGGTGTAGTGCTAAGTTTAGGGTTAGGTTTGGTGTTAGGGTTAGGTTTGGTGTTAGATTTAGGTTTGGTGTTAGGGTTAGGTGTAGTCCTAAGTTTAGGGTTAGGTTTGGTGTTAGCGGTAGGTTAGGTGTAAGGGTTAGGTGTAGTGCTAAGTTTAGGGTTAGGTTTGGTGTTAGTGTTAGAGATGGGTGTAGTGTTTGGTCTAGGTTTGAAGTGTGGAACTCCAATAGAGTAGGATATTGATCGCAGGGGAACTTTTACCAGAGCATTTATCATGCAACCGACTTGCCATACCCCTGGACAATCGGTCCGGGATTTATTTTGTTAGAGATACCAGGTCAGGGTTAGGGATAGGGTTGCAGTTGGGCTTTAGGTAAGGTTTAGAGTAAGGATTAGGGTTAGGTATATGTTTAGGGTTTGGTCCTGTATTTAAATTGGGAGTTAGGTTGTTTCGGATAATTTTTTGGCAGAGCATGTGCTGTGCAGCTGAGTAACCTTGCATGTTCATATACTTCAGGGGGGCGTTTCACAAAACTTGTCATCAGTGACAAATGACAGTTTTTTTTATAAGCTACTGAAATCCTTGCTTCTGATTGGTTATCAACAGATTGTCACTGATTTTTGTCATTTGTCTTTGAATAAAGACTTTGTGAAACGGGTCCCAGAACCCCCTCCTGCCTCTTGTACTTACAGATCTTTCTTACCAGCTGTGCCTTCCAATGAGAGGATTTAAGTACTTGTCATGCCATTGTATTTTGCCAGAAACTTTTTCAATATAAGTAGAATATTTGTGTACTGCGGGTTTGAATCAACAAAATCTTACTGAAAATTGCAAGCATTTAAAACTACTGAATACAGATTTAGGGGATGGGAATAAAGAAATATGTCTATCATCCCAGGCTACCTTCTCTTCCTGGTTCCCCAGCAAGTTATTTATTGTTTGTCTTCTTTTCTTCTCTTTCTTGTTTCCATAGCTGGTCCAATCCGTCCCGAGAGGCCTCACATGATGCCGGGCAGTTCCAAGATGGTCCTCAAAAATCACCTCATCGGGGCTAGGACTGCAGGACCCACTGCACAGAGTCAGGTATGACACATCACATGTTCCCCCTTCCCACCCCCTCCTTCTTCCCCTTCCCCTTCCATCTTTCATCCCCCTTGTAGTGTGGTACGGTATGACACTGAAACAGCTCCCGTAGGATTTTTGTGCCAAAGTTTTTTTTTTTTTGTTGCAATTTTGGATTCATTGGGGTCCAAGCTATCAGAAATTGATGGGGTTCAAATTTTCCCGAAGACACCAAATTTCCCTATTGCGCGTTATATATGCCATTTTGGCACCCAATATGGACCCCCCAGGAAATGAAGGAGGGGTCTGAAAATTTGAACCCCGTCATTTTTGCCCAATTGGGACCCTTTTGAAGCCAAAACAGCAAATAAACAAAAAAAAATCCTACGGGATCACATACTATACCGCACTATTGTGGAAATGACTTTATCTTTGAATAAATTATTCTGGATGATTCAATCAAGTTGATATCGGTTTAATGACTGGCAAATTAAAAAGGGACATTGATTTGGCGATCGTGAAAAGATGGGTTCATTTTGAGATTCATCAAAGTGAAAAGAACCTTATCTGTGATGTACTGAGCTCAAAAATTCATGGCATGCCAGATATGGTCAACAGGTAAACACAAAACAGTTCTTGAAAATGCAGAAAATGCTGGCATATTGTCTTTTCCTGTCATAGAAAAACTATTATAGGAAACCTATTTCTATCCCCTGTGCCTCTTACAAACATTTGTACATTTTCTTTATCTACTTCGACTTTGAGCAGTATCTATAACAACCCTTTTTTTAAACAAAATGAATTCAAATTATTTATTTTGAGGTTGTACAACCATGTACAAAAGGTTCTACTTTAAAGGTAATACAAAGTTTTGGGAAATTTTGAAAATTGGGTGGATAGTGATTCCTTAAAAATTTGATATATTTGGATGCCCCTGTTAATGTATTACAAGCACTAGAAAATTTAGCCCCTAAAACACTTCTGCTTTTGAGAAAAATTGAATTAAAAAATTTACCGGTGCTCCCGGTAAATTTTGATAAATTTCAAATAGCGCCTATGGCCGTACAATGGTAGCTGCAACCATGAAAATCTCAGAATATTTCATTGTGATATATAATTTTTTAACGGGAATAGCTAATCGGTCGATTTTAGTCAAGAAACATTGTTTTATAGCTTAATTAATATCTTGACCTTGAGAGGGAGCTATACAACATAAAGAGTTTATTATTTACAATTTCATAACTTTAGACTCAATTTTAACCGCGACAATGATCACCGAATATTATAAGATTGCATATGCTTCCAATATGTTCATTTGAACCAAATTCATGATCCCATACCAAAACTTTGTATTACCTTTAAGTTTGTACCTGTACAGTGAAAAGTCAGTTTTAAAAGTAAACAAGGTTATACAGGTTGTGACAATCTCTTGGAGTTTCTTTGAAATTACTGTCACAAAGTTTGTTATAGTGACACATGTAGTTGTAATTCTAGAGATGCACCTGTATGGGTATTTCAATATAATCATGATTTACATTTTTTGTTTATGAATTAGAAATGTTTATGTTCCTCTTCCTGGATGTATATCATTTTTGTTGAAATCTTCAGGAGATTTGCACATTGGAAAACAAATATTGACTTTCATTCAACATGTATCTTTATAGACCCCAGCCAAACTTTACTTGAGTTTTGTAGTAATAGATTAAAGGGAAATCCATCCTTGATAGCAAACTATTCCAGGGGGAAATGGAGAAGTAGACTGGTGAAAGTTTGAAGGAAAGTGACAAAAAAATGATAAGTTTCGAATTTCTGAAAGTTGAAATCACTCTAGGTATGGGTAATTCAAATTGGGTGAATCTGTAGTGTCTCTATGACGTTCCAACACACAAAATGACTACAATTTCAATTTTAAAAAAAATGTATGTCTTGGGGAGAGTCCATTCCCTTTAGAGGACCTATAATAAAATACTTTTCATAATATATTTTGAGTAGTGCCCCAAGGGAAAAAGCACTTAGAAGAAAGACAGAAAAACAAACAGGAGAGTTATCCGACACGATGCCACAATCCAGTAACCAAATCACTTTTGCGTAGCTTTAGTGGTCTCATATTTTAAACATTCATAACTTTCTTAGTATTGGTCCGATTTATTTCTCACTTTCGCCATTTTGTTTCTCTTATTTTTCGGCTATCATACAAATTAAACTTATTACGAGGGTTGGGTTACCCTTTCATAAACTGTCATCTTCCCTCACGGCCTAGTCGAAATGTTAGACAGTACCTTTAAATTGTGATGAAAAGCGTTTGGGAAGTTAATAAATGAGCTCTTGGTGACGGCTTCTTTTTGCAGAGAGATGAGGGGTACGGTGGTTATGGCAGTAATATTCTAAAGGTAAAAAAGAGCAAAGTCTTGCAACCGATGGGAACTTATTTGCATGAGATTTGCCTGAGTGATTTGAAAAAAAAACATCGCCCCCCTCCCCCCTATTTTATCATTCTTGCTTGCGTGGATTTATATCTGGCTTTTCTTTTCTTTCTCTCCTTTATATTAGAGTATGTGGTCAAAGATAGCATGCGCTTCTCCTGTATTTTTTTTTTTAGCAGGTGGAGAAATTGGCTATGCTTCCTATATACTATTTAGTACAGATGTAGCATGTACAGCGTTGTCAACCATTTTCAAACGTGCAGATTATCAAATTTTAGATAAATGCTGGAATGATGGTTACGCTTGTTTCTTTTCCATGTATTGTAATGTATGGAAGGTACATGTATCATGTATGTGTCAGTGTAATGTACAATTTGTAGATTACAGTTTACAAACCCTTTTATCTACTGTCAAGCTCTTGATCTGAGTAGATTGTATATATCTAACCTGCTTTACAAGACTATTTTGTAATTTATCCCATCACGTATTGGACGTGTAGAGAGTACCTGTGCCATTGTGCAACAAGTATCAGAGTGGCCCCCAAAATAGCACAACAGCTGAGAAAAAAAAACACTTTGCCTCACAAAATAAATCTACAAATAAAAAGCCTTGCCCGGCATTGATAACCTTGGTTTCATTTAATTTACTTGGAAAAGAGTTTTCCACCTAATGAATGAAAACAAATGACATTTTGTCACTTATGTTGTTGAAAGTACAGATTGCGATGTTGTGTTCTTTTTGGGCCACCCTGTATAGTAATAAGCCAGTTCATATTCACAGTCTGTGTGGGCATGGGGAGATGGAGGTCTTTTAAACTTGTTTTAAGATAAACTTGAGTTCTGGTTAAAAAAAGAAAATCAATTCTCACAGAATCTAACGAAACTTACACTGAATGTTCAAGGTTACAAATAAATGTCATGTGCCAAACACTTTTGGAAGAAAATGTATACTGGCTGAGTAATGAGCATAGAAAGATAAGGAAATCAAGTAGTACTAGCCCGACACCATTTGTGTTGTCCCATATACATCTTTCTGTGTAGTGTGCTTGTTACTTTACCAAGACTGAGCCAAATTTGTTATGAATTTGATGACTCCAGAACCTTGCAGTACACACCAATACTTACATGCTACTTGATCAACTTTTCCTGATGCATTCCACACCTTTTCTTTCACAATGCAATCGCGTTACCAGAACTCACCTTTATCTTTAACCCACATTAGTGGGCCTGAAAGTTACTGTAAAACCAGACACGTTTTGCCCGCATGAATTTCACGAATGGTTCAGGTTCGCATATGTATCATGCTGCGAAATGATTGAATCACACCTGAAAAGAACACTTAATTATTGCTATTTGTTTATTTATTTGCATGAAAATCACTCTCGTTTATAAATTTGAACTTTGCTGTTTCAACAGTGTTTTTCTTTTACAGTAAGTAGCAATGATTCATTTATGCACCATCTCTGTATTTCCTGTTTCTCTGATGGGAACACTTCGTCAAGAAGGGAAATTTAAAAAGTTCTTTGTGAAGCACCTTAATATCACTTTGAGGTATAGTTATTCCAAAATTGCGTAATGAAACGGACTCATTTCTGACATGGGATTATTATTAACTGTTCATTGTATTACAACAATTTACCTACAGGAATCATCTCTTGCACGGCAGTATGCATGAAAGAAACCATAACTATTGTTATTCTATTCTTTATTCTTTTTACATTTCTGCTTGATCGATGCATTCTCTGTTGCTGGTTAATGGTCAAAGTGCATTAATATTTGTAGACGTGTATATAGCAGAGACAGGTGTATTTGTAAGGAGCTTGTATGTACTATGTAGGCTGGTGTGTACAGGCACAACTATTGTACGATTTGTAGCATTTCAGTTCTTCTTTGCCAAAAGAATGACAAGTTATATATTCGTAGCAAAACTTAGAATGTAATAATTTTCTTGTTGTCATATATGTTCTCCTAAAGATAAGCAACTAGGGTTCCCACTGTCATGGAGAAACTGGGAAATTTTTCTAGAAAGATTGGAAAGTCATGGCTTTTGGTTCAAAAATTTAAGTGGGAGCCCTTTATTATTGTCTCCATTCACAGTTTGTTGCTTTGCTGATGGATAGCATGCAATATGTGTACATACATTATATATGCTTGGAGCTGTGTGAATGTAATTGATTTCTACATTTTATTCCACTGCTGCAGATAATAAACTTATAAAATATCCTAGCTAAGGAAATAACATCTTTCATGGACACTTTTTAAAACTATGTGCATATGTATGTAACTATGTAATCCTAATGAATGTTCTTGGTTTTAGTAATCTTACTTTTCTGGTACATCTAGGTATAACTTTGTAAAGCAAAGTGAGTTTCCCTGTACATGCGTTCGTTTCATTTTTGGTAATAATAATAATAATAATAATCTTTTAAAGTCCACTCCAAATTTTATTAAGTTAAACCGAAAATGGAAATTCTTTTTGCCCCATTGATCGTGAGCCCGGCAGCCACTGAGCAGCGCCAGATGGACGTTGCTCTATCCCTTATTGTTGAACGCCAAACAAGGTAGCAGCAACTCCCGTCTTTTAACGTCTTTTGGTATGACGCGGCCGGGGTTCGAACCCACGTCCTCCCGATTGTGAGGCGGACGCTCCACTGACTGAGCCAACACACTGGTCATTTATTCATCAATTAATCATTTATTCGTCAATTGTAAACGTCTTATTATTGTCTTTTTATCAGCTGGAGGGTATTATATATATTTTATACCATTTAAATTTGTTTACTCAAGTGCAAAACATAAAAATATTACCACAAATTGTAAACATCTTATTATTGTCTTTTTATCAGCTGGAGGGTATTATGTATATTTTATACCATTAACATTTGTTTATTCAAGTGCAAAACATAAAAATATCACAACAAAATTGGGGTCCACAAGAGTGCACTTCCTTCTCCTTGGCACATAGTGCCGCCTGTTATAATACAGCTAGCTATTAAATTATTCATCCCCTTGTAAATTTAATGTTTTTTTTTTCTTTCTTTTTCATAACTCAAGAATGAAAGGCGAACTGGTTGAATTATGGCCTTTATTGAATACCTTTAGATGTAAGCTTATATTTGTCAGAATTTCAAGAAACATAAATTGGGACAAATCAATACTTCACATACCTAAAAACTAAAACTTGGAAAGGGTATGAATAACACCTTTTGTAGAGGTGTCGTGGACGAGTGGATATGTCACCGGACTGTAGATCACAAGGTCCGTGGTTCAAGTCCCACCGCGGCACTAATGTACTTTGGCAAGACATTGATCTACATTTGCCACTCTCCACCCAGGTGTTAAATGGGTACCCGGTAGGATGCAAAAGCTAATGTGCTTAGATTAGCAAGTGTGCGCTTGTAAAAATGACGCCTGGCTGGAATGCTCCCCAGGGAGTGGAGAATGTGCATACATTGTGTTCGGGTAAGCCTGAATCCGATGACCGGGGTAATAATATATATATTTCTGTAAAGCGCTTTGAGAGGGCCTTCGGTCCTGAAAAGCGCTATATAAAAACTAGCTATTATTATTCAGTTGTGAACTGTATGTAATATGTATATTGTTTATACAGTTGTATGTGTATTGATATTATTGACTTTGATTCATCTATGTATATCTAGATATAGTAAACAGGAACACTGTCTTGTGCATGTGCATGTATTGAAATTTGTATTCTAAATGAACCCCCCACCCCCCACCCTATGCTTTGCATCATGTTTTGTGGATATAAATCATGTACATCTTGTTTCCACCATCCAATTTGATATGTCTGTATTGTAGCGATAGGTAGTATTGGAATTCTGTACGTACGAACAGAAAATCAGAAGGATGATACAAGGGTGGCCATTGCAATATAAAAGCTTTCAGCTAAATTAAATTAGCCTTCAGTTGTTTATTCAGATTCTTACCAAAGAGATATTTGTGTTTGGATTAGATATCTATTCAAGCGATGGATATATATAGAACACGATGAGCTGTTCGTGCTTTATCGCGTAACAAATATTCCTTGCATCATCCTCTTGTTTTACCCACCCTGAGAGCCAGGTCCCTGTTTCATGAAACTTGTTATCTATAACAAAGGCTAAATCTCTATGACAAATTTGCTCTCAGCCAATCAGATGCCATGATTTCAGTAGCTTATAACAGTAGCTTGAAACTTGTTATTGATATCAAGTTTGATGAAACAGGGCCCCACATGGGCATGAACTTATATCATTCAACACAGAGATGAGTCTATCTGGCATTCAACGGATGATGTATTCATCTTCATCATCCGCCATCACATTATGTCTTGTATTTCAATGTCGTTGTGTACATTTGCATGTGTGATTATGCTCACCCCCCTGTATTTATCTTGTTCCCCAGCCACTGTTAACTCAGAAGCTACTACGTGATCAGATCAATCGTCGTCGTGGACCAGGAGGAATTACACCGGATAGCCAGATGTCCAGCATGGTTCAACCGGTAAGCTTAAAGAGAAGGTTGAGTTCTGGGAAGAGGTGAAAAATAATTTGTGAGCGTTGTCATTCTTATAATGCAAGTGTGGAAGAACATCAGATAAGACATGTTCCCTGAAAAGCATGGCTCTTCAAATGCCTTCATATTCTGAATATGTCATGTAACGCCACATGTTCGTGTAGTCCCATATACATCTTTCTGTGTACAGTGTTTGTAACTTTACCAAGACTTGTCCAAATTTCTTATCATTTTGATGATTCCAGAACCTTGCAATACACACAAATTCTTATATGCTAGAAGATCAACCTTTTCTGGTCGGTTCTACACCGTTTCTTTCACAATGCAATTGCATGACCATAACTCAACTGCATCTTTAACCCCCTTCAGATACAAAACCATGCTTCTTTAAATAATAAAGATTCATCTCTCATGTTTTAAAGCCCCACTATCCTACTTGTAGCTACTTGCTCCCTCTATATAGAAAAATTCCTCAATCGGTGCCTGTTGGTCCCCCATGATCCTCTTTTTCTTATGTTAGTTGAGAGCTGAGTTAATGAGATAGCCACCTGTCAGTGACCTCGCTGTGTGGTCTAATCCCTTCTGGCCCAGTAGTAATGACGGTCTTTAAAAAATAAAGATCCATTGCTTATGTTTTAAAGCCCGTCTGCACTTGTTTGGCCAGGGGGATTAGACCTCCCTGCATGGTCACTGACAGGTGGTTATCTCATCAAATCAGCTCTCAATTAACATAAGAAAAAGAGGATCATGGGGGACCAACAGGCACCGATTAGGCATTGTTTTCTATATGGAGGGCGCAAGTAGCTATAAGTAGTGCAGTGGGGCTTTAAAGAAATTCCACTGTAACAGGCCTGCTACTTTCCAACACAACTGTGTATGTATAATGCTTTATTATCATTAATATTTCAATCAAATATGAAGGCTAGTTACATTAAAGTTCTGTAGTCCGTAATCCAAAGTATCTGCTTGCAAGGTTCTATTTTTATTGCTGCTAGATTTGATATGTTGTCAATTATATCTACAGCTGCAAAAAATAAATGAAAAGTCATTCTTCTATTCTTTGTGCACAACACTCTTACACATGGTGTGGTGTTAAAGAAGTGCAAGTGTTTAAAAACTAACCATCGTTCATTTTTTTGTGGTATCTCAAGTAAGAAACCTTCTTGGCATGATAAGAGTCAAATTAGAATTCAAGCCCGATCAGGTAGATGCTATGTAGTTTCTACATGTACAGTATATATGTGTGGTAATCTGTGAGTTATCGTTTTCATGTTATTTTTAAAGCTAAGCGACTGAAACCCATCTTCCTATCGTAAGCCTCACCCTTACTAATCTCTGCCTCCTTGTTATCACCTTCAGGGGAACCAATACGGCAACTACAACAGCATGCCCATGATGGGCCAACAGGCGGGAATGACCGCTGACCCTCACACCACCGGTCAGCCATCGTCCAGCATGGTGGGCAGTGGCTACAATCAGCCGTTCTCGCACCCAGCCCAGCAGGGGGCCAGCCAGCCTCAACGCATGATGCCCGGGATGAGCCAGCAGCAGTCTGGGCCTAACCAGATGGGCTATCCCCCTCAGCAGCATCAACCAATGCATGCTACCAGAGCCAGGTGGGGATTTTCACTATACTAGATGTTTCTTATTGTGTTTGTAGTACACAAGTATTAACAGGGCAATTCTTTGCATGTGAGTGCATTCCACGAGACCTGTGGCAGATCTTTCTAAGGGACCAGCTCATTCCCAATTATAATGCAATCCCACAGCCCATCCCAATATCCTAATGTAAAATATTTATCTTCTGTTGCCCAGCAGGTTACAGCACCAGATCCACCAACATCGCCAGATGCACCAGGGCATGCAGCAGCCCCAGCAGCACCCCACCGGTCCCGCCGGCCAGGGGACGTACATGAGCCACCAGATGCTACCCCAAGACCAGCAGCAGCAGCAGCAGAGGGGTCAGCAGCAGCTCTTGCAACAGCAGCAGCAACAACAGCAACAGCAGCAACAGCAGCAACGGATGATGGCCCTGAGGCAGCAACAGCAACAGATGCAGGGTCAGGTGCCCATGTCGGGGTCAAGTATGATACCGGGCATGCAGGGTCAGATGGGTCCAGGAAGGCCTGCAAACACCATGAATCAAAGGGGCCACAATACCTACACACATTATTGAAGAGGACGCTACTGTGGACGCTACTGAATCTTTGCAGTCTAGATTTGACCTTGCGATTTGTTGAAGAAGGCCTGTAAAGAATTGATGTGGACGCTTCTGAATCTTCGCAGTCTAGATTTGACCTTGCGATTTGTTGAAGAAGGCCTGTAAAGAATCGATGTGGATGCTACTGAATCTTTGCAGTCTAGAGTTGACCTTGCAATTTGTTGAAGGAGGCCTGTAAAGAATTGATGTGGACGCTACTGAATCTTTGCAGTCTAGATTTGACCTTGCAATTTGTTGAAGAAGGCCTGTAAAGAATCGATGTGGACGCTACTGAATCTTTGCAGTCTAGATTTGACCTTGCAATTTGTTGAAGAAGGCCTGTAAGGAATCGATGTGGACGCTACTGAATCTTTGCAGTCTAGATTTGACCTTGCGATTTGTTGAAGAAGGCCTGTAAAGAATCAATGTGGGCGCTACTGAATCTTTGCAGTCTAGATTTGACCTTGCGATTTGTTGAAGAAGGCCTGTAAAGAATCGCTGTGGACGCTACTGAATCTTTGCAGTCTAGATTTGACCCTTGTAATTTGTTGAAGAAGGCCTGTAAAGAATCGCTGTGGATGCTACTGAATCTTTGCAGTCTAGATATGACCTTGCAATTTGTTCTCTGAGCCTGAATTGAACCCAGTCACAATACTCATCAGTAAGGAAGGTGTTCAAAGGATTAATGTGGACACTGCTGACCTGTTTCATGTTTAGACCATTGATTAGAACGTGGCCATGAACCAAGGCTGTCGCAACGCATGTAAGCATTTTTGAGGAAGGCGGGGAGAGGATAAAGGAATTTATTGTGGGCCAGGAAGGCTTTAAACCGAGGCCGTCAGAACATGTATCTGTATGTGTAATTTTTTTTTCTAATGTACATTTAGATGCAACTGACCTTCTGCAGGTCTAGTCCAGAGCCTATCTACATGGGTCTACAAAGAGTGACAATGACAATGGAGGCTGCTTCAGATTGATTGGTTGGTTAATTAGTTCATGGATCTTTGAATAGTTCCCTCCCTAAAGTATTCGGAGTTCCATGATTTAACTCATGTGTGAACTAGAGACATTTTAAGGATTGAATTAGAACTCAACTGGTCTATTGAGGAGTCTATTGTAAGTCTGGACTGTTGATTTAGACATAAATTGTGATCTTGCCTCTGCAACTTGACTATGGAGGAGCAAGAAAGAAGGGAAATGAAGTGGCTGAAGATCAAATCACCTGAAGAGACATCTGGGGGGCGTTTCACAGAACTTGTGATCAGTGACAAATTACAGTTTTTGTTATAAGCTACTGAAATCCTTGCTTCTGATTGGTTATCAGCAGATTTGTCACTGATTTTTGTCATTTGGCATTGAAAAAAGGCTTTGTGAAACGGGTTCCCTGATTACTTACCTGTCTTTGGTCAAGAGTTGATGAATCTTGTCTGGTACTCTTGAAGTCCACTCCATCCCAATAATACCCATCACTGTTGCCAAAAGCAAGTTGAGGAATTGACCATGGATCATTTTTTCAATGACAAAAATCAGTGACAAATCTGTTGACAACCAATCAGAAGCAAGGATTTCAGTAGCTTATAACAAAAACTGTCATTTGTCACTGATGACAAGTTTGGTGAAACGCCCCCCCTGAACTGTTGATTAGGACCTTAGCGAACCCTCTGGTATTGATCAATAGTCCGGGAGACGAGAAAGCAAACTGATTCATTCAAGTAAATCTGAAGGATGAAATTTCTTTAACTTCTCTTCAAGAAGAACTGGGGTCCATTTCACAAAGCCTTTTTTTCAATGACAAATGACAAAAATCAGTGAAAAATCTGCTGACAATCAATCAGAAGCAAGGATTTCAGTAGCTTATAACAAAAACTGTCATTTGTCACTGATGACAAGTTTTGTGAAACACCCCCCCCCCCCCTGTTTTTCATATTCCTAGAATTCTTGAATGCAGAAAAGTTGAAGTCTTTGAATGAGTGTATCCAATGTTACTACACATGGGACTATCACATTTGGTCTGTTCCTCTCAAAATGCATGTTACTAGTTGGTGACTGAGGATCCTTTGTCTTGATCTACTTTCTTACCCCCATTGCTTACTGGAACCCCGTAGTTCCTGTTTTAAACATATGGGGAATATAACAAGCCAGCAGTCAAGGGGGTAACATCATGATGTAATGGAGGAGTAGACACAGTGGAGATGTCCCTATTCATCATACAGTCTGTGTTATATACCTCACTTAAGAAATCCAGCCATCTGATTGGTCGAATTGCATTCATAAACTTCAACTGTTCCTGTAAAATTCTCGGTAACCATGCATAAAACATTTCAATATTTTTAATAACCATGGTTATTAAAAACAGTTGGTCAGCCTCCATGGTTACCCCATAGGTTTACATGTTAAAAAATGGTTTGAGCGATGGAGGATGCCGTATGTGTGCGAAGGATTGGTCGGTAATTTCAATACAATTGAATCTCGATCGATCTTACCGACAATTTTATCTTGCATTGTTGACATGAAGACGAAAATAAACTTCCAAAAACAAAAAAACAACATCTGCCGATAGATCTTGATCTAAGTTCGTGCCAATATGCATTGCAAAAGTAAAAGAAGAGTCCGTATATGGAGCTTTTGCGAAGCATTCATCACACGCGAAGCCGGTTTCAATCCATTTTAATGTATATATTGGAGAAAACTGCCAAGTATGTTAACGGCGGGCCATAGCCGAGTGGTCTAAGCGTTGGTTTTCGGTACACCTCTTGTTGTACGCAAGGGTTCGAATCCCGTCTTCGACAAAATGATAAATATTTTTCATTTTTCATTTTTTAGTCTATTTTTTTTCGGCATATAAAAGTATTAATGACTGCTTTAATATTCGAGAAATAGTTGTTTTCATACGCTCTCGGGAAGGTTACAATTGGGCTATTCCCCTCGGCAAGCCTCGGGGAATAGCACAATTCTAACCTTCCCTTGAGCGTAATAAAACAACTATTTCTCTCAAAGCAGTCATTAATACTATATTATTGCCAAAAATCAAGATGAGTAATTACATGCTACAGCTCTTGAATGCTGAATTGTGAAATTATGTGATCTCTCTGTCATAAATTCAGTATTTTTTTGCTGAAATGATCAAATTTCTGCCTTATTTAATCATTTTGTCTGTTTGGAACCAAAAAGGCTTTAAGTCATCTACTGAACACAGAGTTAATTCCCTCCTGGCTCCGAAAAAAGCATTTGATCTTTATAATCTTTGGAGTCTAAATGGGCTGAAACTGCTGAAACTGAATATGACCATATTTTGTTGGTGTGGATGAGTTTGTAAACCAATCGACGGCAGTACCATTGAGAGAAGGTTCTTTGTGTTATGTTTAAATTACACGTAGTAATACATTTCAGTACATCAAACTGTTCATACATATGTGATGTATTTAGACTTAATCCTACGTCTTACAATCTGCGGTCTAGATGGAAATTCAGTGTTTTTACATGAGTTTTCATCACTTACGGACCAATATGAAATATATATTCTACCAATTTAATTCATAAACACTCTTTCTCCCTTTTCTCAATTCTATAATTTGCTTGGTATCAATTTAATTTGTAATGATAGGTTATTCAAATTTCCCAGATACATAAAATGTATTGCTTTCCAATTCTTACTGACTGTTGCTTCTGTCATGTACATAGTTTTTGTCAATACTAATTTTGTAAATGCCAAAAAGCTAATTATTTCTCTCTTGTGAATGATCGATACGGTACATGTATATTCCTTTTCTTATTATAGTTGTACATATATGTACAGTCTACACGTACATGTGCATATTGTGCTTTGTGCTCTTTTCACAAAGTTCTCTTTACATATGAGATACATAGAGATGAATAATGTATATAAGAATAAACCAACAATGCCCATCGAATTTGAAATGGACATCGAATTTGGAATGGGCATGCGTAAGATATTTATTTATAACTGAACTAATTGGAAATTATACAGTAGGCTTGCGGGTGCACCATGTGAGAGAGAGAGAGAGAGAGAGAGGATTGAGGAGTCCTGAATTGTGAAATTGGAAATTGTGATTCATGTACATGTGTAATTATTCAACCTCTTTTCAAAGCTGAACTATTGAGTTTCTTTCTTCGCCACTCAGCACTGGATATAAAGCCAAAAATGTGTTTAAACGATTGAAATTTCTCCCGGGAAGCATTACATTTATAAAAGGAGAATCGTAGGTTTGCGAAACCAGCGGCAAATTTTCGAGGTCAACATGTTCTTAACCCATTACCTATGGGAACCTGGGCCCTGTTTCATAAAACTTGATATCAATAACAAGTTACAAGCTACCGTTATAAGCTACTGAAATCATGGCATCTGATTGGCTGAAAGCAAATTTGTCATAGAAATTTAGCATTTGTCATTGATAACAAGTTTTATGAAACAGGCCCCTGGTGGATTCTGTACTAAGCCTATGAGAATGAGAGTTCACTAGTCAATCGGTTAAAATGAAGAGAATCTGTGAATACATGTGAAAGGGTCAAGCGAAGTGGCCATTAACAGAATATGTTAGAGTGACTGTGGAAGGACCTTGATTTTCGATGTTCTTTTAGATGTCGTACAACATAAGCAGGGGGGTGTTTCATAAAGCTGTTCGTAAAGTTACGCATGACTTTACGAATGACTTGAATATGAAAAGCCAAATGAGATGCTCAATCATTTGTAACTGCATCAACTGAACTTGAACTGTGCAGATGTAGTTTAGCATTCCTATTATTACAAACATTTTTAATGCAAAGTATATTTTTTGCCATAATGTAATTGAGGTTATTGGAAATATAGTCACACTTTGTTAAAACATCAGGAAAAACTTTGGCATCCTATCTGGCACTTCATATTCAAGTCGTTCGTAAAGTCATGCGTAACTTTACAAACAGCTTTATGAAACACCCCACAGGTGTTATTAGACACCATGATCCGTATTCTTCAGACTAGTAAAGTTCCTTTGTAAAACCCGATTTTGAACAAAATCTTAGGCCCAGCATCAGGATTAAATGTTGGTAGAATGCAGGATTTTGAGTTTCCAAAATTTAGTTTTTGTATGTGAAGGCTTTGCCTGTTCTTGTTCATATTGTGTACAACTCTTCATAACATTATGTATGATCATGCACTCAAGTAAATCTGCTCTTCTTTCAATGCCCGCTGGATGGGGTTGGTGCATTTCTATAATAGTATTTGTTTTTTTTAAACGTTCACCTTTGGAACTCCATGGGCTGGCATTTGGGCCTAATCATCGAGAACAAGAATATTTTTTTTTTATCTGGGAATTCTTTGCATCCCAGTCACTTTTTCTGAAATACAGCCAATCACCTCATGTGTATTTTGTGGACTTTATGTTACTTGTTTTCCTTGTGCAAATTATGGAGTTAGAAATGTCACATGACTTGGTCATTTTGAATGTAGATATTATAGTAATCATGATGACTTGAAATCAAGATATTGGATTAATAAATGTACATACACAAGAGATTCACTGGTTTTGAATTTTATCTGACGTACATTTGAATTAATTCCTCTTTTCTCACTTAATATGTTTTTGATCGTATTACATGTATGTTATTTGTTTGATATTCAGACAAAGACCCTGAAATTACATTGCATAATTACATTAAAAGCAATTAAAAAAATGTGTGTTTGTGTGAGAGAGAGAAATCGTGGGAGGGTGAGACAGAAAGATTGGGATAGAAAGGAGGGGTTGGAAAGAGGAAGTACATAGACAGAGGGACAGAGATAGAGAGAGAGAGAGAGAGCGAATAATTAAGCTGGAAACAAAGCGAAAAGAAGTAGGAGGGAAAATATAGTCAAAATTGTTTGAATTGTTACTATAGTAGACATCATAAATGTTTAAGTTTAAATCGGGCTATTCAAACTTGTGTGCAGAGTAAAGAAGAAGAGAGGATACAAGAAAGATCAGTCGTTAGTCTGTTTCAGACTAACGACTGATCTTCTGAGTTTTAATTAATCAAAATTCTGGTGCAAAAGACCCTTGTGTTGAATTAAAGTGGGCTAGGGGAAAAGAGACCCACCTTCACCCCCCCCCCCCCCTCCCCCTCCCCCCGAACAAAATATGACAGTCTTTTTGAGGTAAAGTATGTGATTTGCATTTTATCAGTCAAGCAGCATGATAAAATTTATTTAATGATCTGTCACATCACATGAAATCATATTTATTCATACGTATTTTATACAAATCTGTGCATAAATACTTCACATAATATATTACATAATATTGATCTAAAATCATACTTTATCTACACATCTAACTACATACATTTGATCTATAGCTTTGTACATATTATTTGCGTAGATCGTTTCAAGACTTACACAATCATTCTACAAGAACATGTCCAGTAACCCGTGATACACGGGCAGGGGCCTATAAATATATATACTTTCAAATAACTGCAAACAATTTCGAAACTAGAATTGTAGCTCTTTCTTTGTATACATGGATAGGGCATGTCAGTACAGGGCTCACGATCAGTGATACTCGACACACATGGAATAAATCTTGTTTAGTTTTGTTGCGAATATTTCATCTCCTAGCTATAACTTAACTGCATGTCGGTCACCGAATCGTGAACACTCAATATGTTTCCCAAAATCCATGACTTTATGAACATGATCGCTAATACTTTCGAAAAATCTACCTAAAAGGCAAAATTCAAAATTGGCCCTGTCCATTACTGTCCATGCGAACATTAGTATTGTGACTTGTTACATCAGGGGCCATTGACCGCGAGTTGATTGCTTGGAAGTCTTTACCAGTTTACGATTGTGTTTATTATAAATTATTGGATTTAAAAGTAATTACTCCTTGAAATAAAGTTATTTGGTATGAGCAGCAGAATGTAAGCCATTAATATGCAGCAGATAATTTAGTTTACCCCCCGGGGGTAGTGCTACTATTAGCATCGAGAGAAGCAGTGAATGATGAGTGCTCATTGCTTTCAGAAACACTGCCTGCATGTTCAATTTGTTAGAGTCCCCCCCCCCCCCCCTCCACTGTCATCAACGTTCTTCCGCGTCTGCCATGAAATAAAGTTATAAAACCGATGAATTGGGATTCCTTTTTATTACTTGACCTTGATTGGTCCAGTCGAAATGGTGTACATTTCTCGTACTCCGCGGATATGTCGTCTGTTACGAGGTTCTCGTCTACACTCTTGCCAGCAGTGAGCCGCAGACTCCTGGCCACGACACACTTGAACACGACAATGCATGAATACCTGCAGAAAATGAAGATAAAACAATAAAGAATTGGCAACTAGGTCTTTTCATCTCTTTATTTACCTCTCTATCTTCTCCCCTCTATATCCCTTTCTCCATTCGACACACTCTCTCTCTCTCTCTCTCTCTCTCTCTCTCTCTCTCTCTCTCTCTCTCTCTCTCTCCATCTCGTCTTGTGCCCCTATATCCCTTTCTGTTATCTTCTCTCCTCATCTACCTTCTATAGTTATGTCATTTGCCCCATGCAGCCCGCCCCAATCTCTTTATCTCTCTCTCTCCATCTTTGCTTGTTTATATATAATATATCCCTTTCTATTATTATCTTTCGTCTCTCTTTCTCTCCCCATTCCTTCTCGCTACGCCATTCGGAATCTCACCCTATATCTCTCTTCCCCTCCCCGCCCCTCTCTCTCCCTTGATCACACTTTCTACCACTGTAGCCTCCACTCCCTCCATCTCACAGGCGATTAGGCCTCTATTAGGCCTACAAAAGAAAGATGTAGTATTGCCCTATGCAACCGACCCAAAAATCTTGAAATCTATGGTCGGCTTTTTAAAAAGTTTTTTTTTTTAAACCGTTTTTTAGAGGAAAACAAATATTAAAGCATTCAAAACTGAGAAATATCAGTCAAAAGAGGGAGTAAAAAAAGAAAAAAGTTATGATTTTTTTGTTTATAAATCAGACCGACCCATGTTTTGGCACCTAAAGGGCAATACAACATTTTTTCAAAGGCCTTATAGTATACTGACCTCATTATACTCTCCAATGGGGCTGAACGCATCGACCGCTATCGGCCTGAATCGAGGATCATCGGCCGAGGCTCCGATATGGATGGTATCATCAATCTCACAGCTGAAAATTAAGGTTTCAATACTCTTACATATTTTAACGGTATGATTAAAACAAAAACATGAACAAACAAACATGAGCGATATATAACAAGAAACAAAAATTTAGTTTTCTGCTGTATATGAGAGCGTTTGCAGAAGCATCTTCCAATGAAAAGTTCGGGTGGATCGAGGTGTCTTGGTATAGTGGTTACTTCACTTGGCTCGATCTCAATCCAAAGGTTGAGGGCTCGAATCCAAGCCCAACATAACATCTTTTGGCACGGCATTAATTCAAAATGTGTCACTATCAAATGGGTACCTGTAAATGCTGGGTTGATAGTTATAGTTGCAGCGCCTGCAGTATTAATACTGATATGGCTATCCTGAGTAATTAAGACCCAATTATCAGAAGTTTGCTCATAATCGAAATACATTCATGTGTTAGTCAACCAGTAAAGATGCGATATGGATGTTATCATAAATACCACAATCGAAAGAAGAAAATTCGCGGCGATATACTTTTACATAATTTGATGATTTAAACCAAAAGGTGTGAATCGTTGAAGATAGATAGATAGAGAGAGAAAGTTAATGAGAGAATCTTGTACGCATATGACATGTGTAGATGAATTTAATCAAAGCTTTATGATATAGTTGGGGTTGGCAGGGGCTTTGGTAGACCGAAAACTTCACTCTCTTATACCCACGGTGGTTTAATTGAGACTACCTCTTGCTCTATTTACTGACCACCATTGTACCGATTGCTAATATAAGTTTAATCAAAAAAAATCCCATACTAGACGGTTATTTCTGTCTACTCAAGGCTTGAGGCTATTTATTTTCTATCTTTGTGAGCCAGCGAAAGGATTTGTGCTGGACACTTGAATGTCTGAATTCTGAAAGTCTGAATAAAGGTGGCAGCTGCCGCCAAATTGCCAAAAACACAATTGGTAACTTTGAACTCTAAAGGAGGAGGGGAAACCCAATGCAGCCCCTACCTCTTATACACATTTTTCGACCGGTACACGGTATGATCTTGTACTTACCCATCCTGGATGAGAGACGTTGTGTCCTGGTCTTGAGCGTCTGGTCCTGGAGTGGTCCAGCACGAATCAACGAACACATTGGCATCCACTGAGGACGTCAGGTTCACCGCAAAGACGTTCTGCCCCGGCTGAACCCCTTCCATCCATGTCCCAAACAGGTCTGTCCCTGAGGAGGCATTGCTTGATGATGACCCGAAGGCATCATCCATGTACTGGACAAGACTAAGAGACAGGTCACCTAGGACAGCATCAGACAAGACCAGGGCGCTTGGTTCCCGGCGACCACCGGTAAGTGGTGAGATCCCGCTGATTCCTGCTTGGTCCGATTCGCATTTGAAGGAGAGGTAGCGAAGGGGAGAGTCAGGGGTGATGACATGGTCGGCGAACCTCAGGGTGTTAGAGAACGTGACAGAATTTCCTTGTTCCTTATAGACGGAATGTTTGATTAAAAGAAACGGAATATCCTTAATCAAAACACATCAAAATTGCTACAGGAAATTACCAAATGACTATTCGTTAAGGCCATCGCGTACTATGACTACGACTACGACTAGATTGTGACAGAAAAAAATGGGTTGGATATGGACTTTCAAAATAAGTTCTTCCTGTCTCAGACTCGAATTCCAAATGAGGCAATGTTTGGTAATATATAGGGTAACCGATCCTCAATCAATCAAGTCGGCATACCACTTGTACGACTGATTACAAGTTCATTACCGAATAGTAGCCGATTATGGCTTTTTCTGCGACTGAAAGAGGTAACGATCTATTTTCCTTTCCCTTCACTGTCTTAATTATTTTCACATTCCTTTTTTTGTAGAGACGAAGAAAATGATTTCAATATACCGGCCAGCCGCATGACTTGGCACCTGGTTCATAATATTTATCATGAATAACAGCTGTCACATGTTCATAACTTTTAAAACATTTTCATAAACTTGCCAATGTCCAATCAAATGCAACTATTTCAGTAGCTATTGTAGTTTGTTTTTGATAACAAGAATTGTAAAACAGGGCCCTGGGGCGGGGGGCGTTTCACAAAACTTGTCATGGGTGACAAATGACAATTTGTGTTATATGCTACTGAAATCCTTGATTCTGATTGGTTATTAGCAGATTTGTCGCTGATTTCTGTTATTTGTCATTGAAAAAAAGGCTTTGTGAAACGCCCCCCTGGTCAGACATTCTGTTTTACCTGAACTCGAGTATCACACGAATCGAAGGGTGTAGTAAGCATGATGATGCCCTCCTGGATGATCACGTGTTTGCAGGAAGGATCGTTGAGGGTGACATCATCGGGACCGTGAACGAGAAAGACCGATGTATCCAGTGTAATAGACATTGAGGAGTTGTAACATTGCACCTCGTAACCTAAACAGATACAAAATGATCTCAGAAATATCATTTACCCCAAGTAAGAACAAATAAATCTCTATAAATGATATTATAATATAAAGTCCTACTCTGAACACCTTTAGAAGGAGATAAAATCACTAGCTTGTTTTGACTGTTGAGCAATACATTTATTATAAGTAAAGAAAACGAATCAGTCATTTCGTGCGTTTATGTGCGTGTGTGTTCTTGTATATATATATATATGGAAAAATACATGCGTAGAATCGTATGTGTTTAAGAAATAGTGAGTAAGAGTCTTGAAGTTTTAACTTAATTTAAATTTAAATTTGTAATTAATTAATTTACTTTGTGTACCTATTTGCTTTGATATTGTTAACGGGGATGACATAGATAAGTATTTGCACGTTTGTGATCCCTCCACTTCGTTAGATTGTATCATTTTGTACACTTTTTAATTTCATGTTTTGTGGAAATAAAGTCAATTCAATTCAATATATAAATCGACATCAGCTATGTTCAGACGGGACCGTACGATGTAGTATTACATTTTAAGAGTGGAAACCTCGAACGTGACACAACGACGAGGTTTTACACGTGACCGAAACAACAAGTATTTCAAGTTTTTAACTGAAAGCTGGGGTAGCAGTCATTTGTATATCTAACTAAAAACTGTCGAAAGGCTTCGAGTGATGACCCCTGCTGCTCGTACGTATATAGTTATAATAAAAATAATAATAATAATAATAATATTAACAATATGTCTTGTTTACCCAGGGTAGCCTCATCAGTATTCATACTGTTCTCCCTGAGGGCCCTGCAATCTTATTATCCCCCCAGTCATCGGATTCTGGCTCACCCGCACATGCAATGTATGTACATGTATCGTCATATCCTTAAAGCCCATCTGTACTAGTGTACAGGAGGGATTACACCACCCTGCAAGGTCACTGGACAGGTGCTTATCTCATCAACTCAGCTCTCAGTTAACATAAGAAAAAGAGGATCATGGGGGAACATTGGTCACCGATTAGGCATTGTTTGTTATATAGAGGGATCAAGTAGCTACAAGTAGTACAGTGGACCTTTAAGATTGCTCTCGGTTTATAATTTCGAGTAAACTTAACGTTTCGTAAGCAGAGTGCATCCGCACGGTCGCAAACTCCAAGATAACTTCGATTTTAAAACCAGGACCTAAACTTAAAGTTAACGGATTGTCTTGAAAATTAACTATGTTTTGCTTATCTGCCTTTGTAATAATGATATAAATGGGCTTATCGAAGGTTGCCAATTAGGAATATCATCTTAATAAGTTTCAACGTTGGAAATGTAAAGGAAGGTTGCTTAATTGGTGTATCTTCTGCTGAGAGCCATGCAGAAGAGCGTAAGCTATGTGTACAATCAGGTGAGTTAAAGTCCTACTGGCTCTCAACAGACGATGTATTTATCAGGTGTGGATCAAGAGCTCTGTTGATCGAGGAAAGCTAGGGGGTGCAATACAATTGTACTGTAAAAAAATAAGATAAAAATAAAAAGGTTTATCACACTTTTAAAGTGAAAGTTTTTTTTAGGGGGGGGGGGGGGGTCCATCCACCCTGCTTCGTCAATGAATCTACCACAGGGCTAACATATTATATTGTATCAACTAACCTGTTGGAGGAATGAACAGCGGTTCTGTACTCGGGACGTACAATCGTTTAAGATAATACGCCACAGGGAACGCTCGTCCGCTCAGGTACCCCGTTCCATAGCCAATCACCAAGAACCTTGCTTGAGGATCAGTATGGCCGATGGTGTGACGACCCGATTGTAAGGTTCCATGGAGGACACTTGAGACATCATCCTCTACAATGACACGCCAGTCTGGCGAATCGCGACCAACGAGGTTACCGTTCACGCGCAGTCCGGATAAGCTGATGTTCGAGTTTGTAACCATCACGGTGACGTGATCATTGTCCATAGAGGTGAGAGACAAGTCCCCGACGATGAACTGCTCGACGGGTGGGATGACGACCATGGACGGGTCCCCGACGAAATCTCCTGATTGGAAACCTTTCATGAACTGCAGAACCAGAACGGGTTCGGTTGATCGGAACGAGAGCTCGACATGACGGGTAAATATAAATTCGTGGTGTTGGTTTTCGTTGAGGTGCACATCATTTGCATGTGGGGATGAAAAGATGATGTTGGTGTCATTGAAAGGGGCGACGATTCGAAGAACATAGCTGCTTTCTCTGTCCTTAAATGGCGCTACGATGAACTGCTTCCCAAGGGTATGTACTGGCGGCATTTGCTCAAATAGGTAGTCGCAGTACTTGATTCCCTTCGGGACTCGCGAACATTCACTTCCGGTCACAACCGCCACGGGTTGATCCGACTTGATTCGTGAACCTGTCAGGTCCTTGTCACTCATGATTTGCAGGGACTCAAATGCCCCAAGCTGAAACTTAAAGACATCATGAGGACCATATAAGACGTGGCCAAATGCTACTATCTGACTGAACCTGATTTGTAACAGAGCACCCGTTTCCGTCGCGGTCACGGTAAAGCCTGCCTTGTACTTAGTGTGTTTTAGAGTCAGTGGCTCGTAGATACCTACGATGTAGTCGTTCCCAAGACTTCCGGTAGGGAGAGGGGTAAAGGCTCCAGAGTTTACCCCTGCTTCTATTTGGACATGAACGCTCAGGTCACCATCAGCTCGTATTCCAACAACATTCTGCTTCAAACCAGTGCCACGTGAGGTAAGGGAACTTGGTAGATCAACCCTAAGTTCACGATCACCAGGTACCTCAACGACATGGCGGAAGTTGCTACCAGAAGTGACAATCGTAGCAGTAACAGTTTGGCCACTGTGTGACGACAGAAAGACACGTTTGGAAGAGCTACGCCGATAGACGTAGTCCGATGGTATACCGAATACAAAATCATTCCCGATCGTACTCGGAATGTCAAGTGCTTCTGCAAAATAAAGGAAAAGAGAGCCAGTAGCTTAATTTTCACTTGTGACAAATTCATGAAATGCCCTTTTTGATTATATTGATATGGGGATTAATTCAAGCTGGTGTATCTGGGAGGGGAGAATTAATCAAAGAGAGTGAGAGAGAGAGAAAAAGAGCGAGAGAGAAAGAGAGAGAGAGAGAGAGAAAGAGAGAGATAGAGGGTATGGAGAGAAAAACAGGTCAGAGGCGGGGGAAGGGTGCGCCAAAGGAAGACGATACGACTTCTCTTCCTACGGCTGTTGCATTTGCTGTTGGAGAAGGTGGTAAAGGATTTTTTTCTCTCCTTTTCTCTCCTAACTTCTGCCTGGGACTTCATTCGGAAATCAATTTCCTTGTCTGGGTTTTGGGGAAATCGAGTAGGCCATTACTGAAGGCCTATAGTTACTATTTATGACTGTATGGAAAGTTTTATTATGACTAATACTTATCAAAGCAATTCCTGAATAATATAATACAAAGGAACCACGGTTGAGATTTCGAAATAAAAACAATAACCACATAAATCATTATGCCAGTAAAATTTGATAAAATAAAAAACAAGTCAAAGCGCTTAAGAGACCATTGCACAAGAGGCGCCAATCGGCGGTTGCGTTATTATTTGTGCTAATCACACATTTAAAGGAATTAGCCTATACGCTCGGTAAGTCAAGACAATGTTTGAAATATTCATTACACATTCACTCTCTGCATTGCGCGTCAAAGCTTGTGTCAGTAGGGACTTTTAGATTCTGCACGACGAGAACGTGGACTGCCCTTTTAAGGCAATGTGACGTCCTTTTAAGGCACTGGCAGTGACGTCACATTGCCTTAAAAGGGCAGTCCACGTTCACGTCGCGCAGAATCTAAAAGTCCCTATTCTTTGGCGCATGTCTACGTCAGGCAAATATCGCTTCGTGTGCATGCAACGTCCAGGCGTTCATAATTCTCTGTCAGGGGATAATACTCACTGGTCCCGTCAATAACCACCACCACAGCCATCACTACAACCATCATCCATGCCTTCGTCGTCGTAATCGTCATCGTGGTAGTTCACGAGATCGTTCACGTACAAGAAGCTCACTGGAACTGGTGTCTGAATTATTGAAGATCCAACCTTTCCACTTATTTCTGCAAGGCTTTCTCGCAATTAGCGTCAGCAATGAAATGTTGTCCACATTGCGTTACGCCATAACTGTATGGTGGGGAGCCTAGGAGGGTTGGGATTAGGTCTATTCCAATCTCTCTCTTGAACCCAACTAGTTTGTCGAGCTGCCAAGCAAGCTAGTGCGCAGTCAAAACAGTCCAGTTCCTGGTCCTTATTGGGTATTGATAATAAGTCATCACATGCTTCCTGTTTTGGATCGAGCCTGGCTTCAGAGAGCAGGCGCGGATCCAGGATTTCTTAGGGGAGGGGGCCCAACTTTTTTTTTTTTTGCTCCCGAAAATTTGAAAATCGCGCCGGCCGAAAAGTCGCTCAGTGGGGGGGGGGGGGGGGGGGGGGGGGGGGGGGGGGGGGGGGGGGGGGGGGGGTACAGAGCACAATTTTTTTTTTTTTTTGCTCCCGAAAATTTGAAAAACGCGCCGGCCAAAAATTCGCTCAGTGGGGGGGGGGGGGGGGGGGGGGGGGGGGTAGTGAGCACATTTTTTTTTTTTTTTTTTGATCCTCAAAAAAAATTCAATTTGCACCCCCCCCCTTGAGCGCCAGGGGGGGGGGCCCAACCCCCAAAAATCGTAAAAATCACGTGATTTTACATGATTTTTTTCTCAAGGGGGGGGCCCGGGCCCCCCGGGCCCCCCCCCTGGATCCGCCACTGTCAGAGAGCATGCACCAAGCAGCGGCGTATCCAGACCTTGATCTCAGGAGGGGCAATACTTTACTGTCATCCCTACACTGTTTGTATGCGTTACGTTTAGTAGGGGGAATGGGGGGGGGGGGGGGGTTATCGATAAAAAATGACTTATAATTTGGGTGAGAGGAAAAAAGTAAGTCCTTTCAGAAAATGTTTCACGTTATCTTCGGCGTCTTTTTGTTTAGGGATAAAGTAAAACCTCATCAGTACTTGAATAATCTATACAGTTGCCATGGTTATCTTACTTGGTAGGACATATGTCAGGAGGGGCAACGCATTGCCCCCCACCCCACCCCCCCCCCTCCCCCAACCCGCTGCGCTACGGTCAAATAAGCTAGTGGCATGTTCACGTTTGCTGACGCCTGTCCATGGAGCATTCTGTGTGTCTCTATCTAGTGGATAAAGTTAGGGTTAGCTTGATCGCATCTACTTTCTAAAAATCGACCTAAGGAAATTTTAATAGCTTCGTCCATCCCATTTAGAAATACGGGAACATTACAATGATGCATTACGTTATCAGCATATGATTTCTATATGATATACAAAAGGGTTTTGATATTGCTCTTTAAGGATTGGTCGAAATTAGTTTCGATCATGTTGTTTAGGGTTAGGGTTATAGGTAGGTATACTAGCTGTCGGGCTAAAAATGCAATATTTGGTTATGAAGGCCTTGTCTGCTGAGCTACTGTTGAAGGAGCATGTGTCGTATAACCGTTTCAGTTCAGTTTCAGTTTCATTTCAGTCACTCCGTATGTGGAGGATCCACCCCCCCCCCCCGGATCCACATCTTCCCCTGTTCTAAAATCGATTTTGATACATCACGATGCACAATCACCTTTACCCTTCATAGACAAGATATGAAGCTCTCCGCGTGCAGACTATTTAAAGGCTCAAACCCGAGGCACACCAACAACACCGACAACAGGCCGAACACAAAGAATTCAGTACTGCGAATGGCCACGGATCGGTCGGTTTGGGTTCGTGTGGAGTTGGTTTGGCGGTGTGACTGTGGTGTGAATGATCGATTCGAGGTCGGTTAATCATTGTTTGACAACAAACCCATTCAATAACGGTAGTTATACAACATATTGGTTTCACACAGGAAAGGAATAATGGCAATGGGAAGCCCACTACTTCCACCTCTTAATCTATCACTAAACCTTTCTTTCCGGCGCGTTCTTAGACTTTGATTCCTATATGGTTCCATTTACCGATACTGATCTCTAGCCTCTCATGCGTCTCATGGTTATCATTGTATCATGTATTCATACATGTAATGTATCCATTTTCAGCTTTCTTGTAAACAACCTAAGTGTATTAGTTAACCCTAAAAAGGCCGGGCTATTTGAGGTCTTAGTACGGCCGGGGGGGGGGGGGGGGCATTATGCCCCCCCCCCCTTAAGATCTCGGCCGCAAAAATTTGCACGCATGTCAAATGAAGTTTATAGAATAATATGATAATTTCAATTTTTTGAAAAATTTACTCATTTGCATATTTATGGTAATTTATGCAAATAAAGTCATAAAAATCATATTTTTACTCATAAATCATATATTATTCATATTTAAGCATTCTTTTTCACTACATAATATTCATTAGACCATTTCTAATAATAATACGACAAAAAATTCGGAAGAGCCAGCTTATTCCTCATGTTATCCCTTGTTTTGATAATTTCTTATGTATTTCATTGTTTTTTTAACTTATGTATTTCATTGTTTTTTTGTTTTTTTTCATTTCTTACTATTTTGACTCCCCAAACAACCACCTAAACTTTAAACAAGACCAAATAACCCATGTTCGATCTGTTTTTAGGAAAAATGACTTTTCCATATGTTTTGTACACAAATCACGAAAATGAGCGATTTTCGGGCTGACATGCAAAGACAAAAGGTCAAGTGACCTTGTAACCGTAGGTCCGATTTTCAAAAAAATTCTTTTAAAAGTTGCGCAAGAGTACTCGTAAGAAAAAAGTCAGCGAGTGGCGGGGCGCCATCCATATGTGTTCCCGAGCAATCGGAAAAATCGTGGGGCCTTATTAGGGTTAAAGAGCAATTGAATGTTAATATGTATATAACAATTTTTTATTTTGGTGTCCCGTGCGTTAAGCTATATCAGATTATTAAATGAACGTTTTTAAAAAATGTATTTGATTTGAAAATTCCATCACCTATTTCTTGTAAATGATTAAGGATGATTCTTGAATGATCAGTTATTTCATGGGGATACCAATTAATTTGTATTTTACCTGTTTATATGCTTGTGTATATATCTATTTGTTTTTGATGCTGTTATTTGTTGTTTTTATTACCAAACGCCTCATGGAAGACCCCAAATTGGTGACATGTGCCACCCTGTATAAATATCAGAAATAAATAAATAAATAAAATAAATAAATGCACACGAGGTGCACATTGTGGCTTACACTATATATCTACGCAATTATCATCAAGTCTTCATCAGCAGGTATTTCTGCGTTGCGTAATGATTAACATTATTTTAATCGCAAAACGTTTCAAGGGACAAATTTGTTTGTTTTTGTTACAAAATTTTATTTTTCATGTTGTGGTGTATTTGTATGTTCTATTATGTAATAGAAAAGGTCAGATTATATCGTGCGTTATGCCCCGGGGTGCTGCCGGGCCGACTACGTACCGACGGGGGGGGGGGGGGCTATAAATGCTCTTTACTTCTTAGCCTCTCTCTTTCCATTTAGTGTCGGTCTGATGGTCGTATCGTTTGTGCGGCCGGGGTATACAAAAGTATCATGCTTTGTTTTTTTTAATGTTACACTGAAATGTAAAACAAAATTATTGTAAGTGCATGTAAAACAATAAGATTATCAATTATTTTTTCTGCAAAAAAATGTAACGCATATTTTGTAAATCATTGTGTTTTCTGATCAATATAACTTATCAAGATCTAAAAAAAAGAAAGAGTCTACTAAGATAACACTAATTAAGCGCATAGGGTGTGTATTTTTGCGTGTACATATACGTGTTCTGGCAACAATTCTTGGCGCCTGGTTGCGGACACCCTCACTCCTCGAAGCGGATCTACCCCATTCTCTCTCCTCGATTACGTCACTCTATTTCCTTTTGTTTAAAGCCCCAATCAAAGATTTAACAAGCCCTCAAAAAGACTCATCTAAAATGTATCTATTATTTATTAATGACGCTGATGGTGCTGACGATGATCAAGATAATGATGGTGATGATAAGGATAATGATGATGATGCTGATGACGAGGTTGATGGTGATGATAATGATCGAGATGATGATGATAATAAGGTGGACTTTCTAATTCAATGTTTTTCCCCACGTAGTAGTTAAGCTTATCTAAACAATAACAAATATGTCTTTCAAGTTTCACGGATAAACAAATGAGATGTGGGAATTGAATAATGAAATATGGATAAATAAAAATGCAGAGTGGGCATGGTATGTAAATTATTTGAGGATACTCTTTACCGTTTTCGTTATTGTTGCTTTTCTTTATGTGTGTTTGTGTATGATGATTACTAAATATGTATATAGCTGATTTATAAGCTGATTTATAAGCTCAATGTTAGCTGTCAACCTGGGTTGTATTATTCTATATAAAACAAACTTTGATTGTTTTGGATACCTACTATGGTTTCTGGAAAATACTCGATAAAGGAAGCTGAAGCTGTTTTATAAATGAAACCCTTTTCTGACTGTTAAAAATGTGACGGTAGAAAACAATGTGAGAGATTCAGACTAAAAGATAATTCAATAACACCCTTACTCGCGGTTTATTTGTTCGTTTGTTATTATTGCTTTTCACCCTTTCCCCCAACAGCACTAGAGGGCGGTATTTACACAGCACTTTGAGTTGTCCGTGTATTTTTTAAAGCTGTGTTTTGGTATTAGTTTATAATTTTCTGTTCTTTTTCTTATTCCCTACTATTAGGACGTCGCAATCTGGAGATTAAGAGCACATGCTTCTTCTTTTTTTTGTCTCGGAAATTTGAAAATTTGGCCGACCGATATTTCGTTCAGTTAGGGGGGGGGGGGGGGGGGGTACGGTCTCTTTTTTGGTCACTATTTAGCACATTTTAAAAAATTTAATTTTTTTTTATTAAAAACATTTTGAGGTTTTCGCATAAACAAAAAAAATTAGGGGGGGGGTTGACCCCCCCCCCCCCTGCGTATACGCCTGCTGACATGTGAAGTAGGAGAGATGCTTCTCAAGACGACTCGTGTAAGGTCTCAATTAAGCCTGGACATAATGTCTCTCTGCGTCTGTGTTCAAAATAAGACGAGCAATTTTAAAAATCGTGTCCGTAATCTTATCCTCGTTCATCAAATTTCCTTCACAGAAATCATAACACTCGATCATCTTAACATCATCTTAAAAATTATATATTGATATAGTCACGTTTACCAACAAACCTTTAAACCGTCGTTATCATCAAATTCATCATCAATTGCATCAACATCATCATATTTGTAATCATGATGATCATGATCACCATCACCTTCAATCATCATCATCATCATCATCATCATCATCATCATAATCATAGCCACTGTAGTGTTTTGTGAAGCTTTATTGTATATTGTACATGCAATTTATTCTTCGATTGCATCGTTAGTTTCTCTCCATGATCTTGCTTTCTATTTCTTGGTATTCTCCTGCTTACTCATCAATACATCCTGTAGTGGACATTCCACCCCTCTTATTTATTGATAGAGATTCTTCGTACAAATTGACCACTCCTCTTATGACTCATTACCTCGTATCGTTTATGACAGAGAAAGTACTATGGTTGTTTTGGAATAACACTTCGGCCCGAATTCACAAAGGAGGTTTAACTTTAACCCATGGTTTAAATCTCCATTTACATAACCCATGGTTTAAATCTCCATAGACATAACCCATGGTTTAAATCTTCATTTACATAACACTGTCTAAAATTAGCGCAAAATAAGCGCGACACAGTCAGAGGTCCAATTAGACGAGCGCAAGGCAAGGTATATTTTGAGTAAATTTTAAAGCCATGGGATATGTAAATGAGGGTTTAAACCATGGGTTAAGTTAAACCTCCTTTTTGAATTCGGGCCTTCTAGTTTAGACCTCAACTAGTCAAGTCGTTCTGCATCCCTGTCCAAGTCTATAAATCCTTCATAGACTACCGTCGCTCCATAACAACCACCATCATCATCGTCAACATCTTCACCATTATCATTATCATTCTCACAACTACCATATACACTATGTAAAAAAAACAATGGATGATTCTTTATTGTTCAAAATATTAATTTAAACCGAGAAAAATACACTCCACATTGAAATATATACATCAAATTAAAGAGAAATTACTACTCTACCAACATAAATTATGATCAAGTTTTGAACTGCCACGATTGGATGGGCACATTAATTTACCCGTTAGAAGGTCTGATTTAGAAAATAGCGAAGATAGCAAGAAACCAAATAGATAACAAACCTAGCCATTCAAATGCAAGTGACCAGATTCAGCATTTCCCAATTTTCTTTCAGTTTACATTAAATATTAATTTAAAAATTGATATAAACAGTTAAACACCATAAATAGTAGACACACTACAAATGGTGTCAACTTCCTTTTGTTGGATATATATATATATATATATATATACATATAAACGTACATATATACATATAAACATACATATACATATAAACATACATATAAACATTTAAACAATAATGATTAAAAAATAATACGATGTGATTGCTCATTTTAAAGCCATTAGATAAATGGCTCGTTTTATCCTAGGGGCATAAAAATCCCAGATTGTAGACTTTCTTTTCGGTTATGCTCTAAATGTATTTCCTGTGATAAGATATCCATAGGATGTCGTATTTCCTCAAATTCATTTTGTTTAAATAGAACATGACTTGACCCTGTATTTCCTTCTTATTTCTCGGTCAGACTTACGAGACTGACACCAGACAGAATACAGAGCAAACAAATAAAAAAATACATTACCTCTAATGACCAATAATCGGTCGGTTACTTTGCTTTCATCCATCTGTTTACAGTGTGTAAAGCATATCAATAATATAATGTGAGGTTTCACTACACAAACGTCTGTATATAGGCCTACGTATCAATCCGTATCCGGACATCTATTCCCCCGGACATCCACCCCCGGATAACCACACCCAGTCAAATACCCCCTAGGACAACCACCCTCTAGGGCAACCACCCTCTAGGACGACTACCCCCAGGACAACTACCCCCGGACAACTACCCCCGGGCAAATACCCCCGGACATCTACCCCCTATAGTTGTCCGGAGGTAGTTATTCTAGAGGATAGTTGTCGTAGGGGGTAGTTGTCGTAGGGGGTAGTTGTCCTAGGGGGTAGTTGTCCTAGGGGTAGTTGTCAGGGGGTAGTTGTCCTAGGGGGTAGTTGTCCTAGGGGGTTGTTGTCCTAGGGGTAGTTGTCTGGGGGTAGTTGTCCGGTGGTAGTTGTCCTAGGGGGTAGTTGTCCTCCAGGGTAGTTGACTGGGGGTGGTTATCCGGGGGGGGGGGGATGTCCAGGGGGTAGGTGTCCTAGAAGTAGAACCGTATTAATCGTATATAGGCATGATGCCACGTCTTATTCGAAGATGTAAATTATTATTGTTAGCGGCAATGGCGTATCCACACCTTGCGTGAGGACTCGAAATTACGTTTCAATTTACGATGATCCATAAACATTTTGTCAGGAGGGCCTGGTTTGCGTTACAGGGCGTAAAATGAGATATATTGATATATATGTAATTACTAACCAGAAATAAAGTGTATAAATTTGTATATGTATGCACGAACAATATATGTCAAATCACACAATACACATCTGTAATCTACTTCAAATGATCATTGTGATGGGGTAATTGCAAGAGTTAGTATATGTGGTCAAGTTGGTGGCCAAATGCTAATAACGATTATTGATTATCAGTTGATTGATTACTGAATAATCATCTGAAAAATCAACTGGTAGTTCAACTTGAAATTCAACTGGTAAATCAACTGGTAATTCAACTGGAAATTCAACTGGTAAATCAACTGGTAAATCAACTGGTAATTGAACTGGTAAATCAACTGGTAATTCAACTGGTAAATCAACTGGTCTCAGTTAGCGTTGTTTCAATTTCCATATAAAAAACCAGTTGAATCTACTGGTTTCAACTGGTACCAGTTGACTTACTGGTTTTAACTGGTACCAGTTGCCTACTGGTTTGAACTGGAATTCCGACCTGGGGAGTTTTGGCTTAACGCTGGTCACATGTATCATAGAGGGGTAATCCTTTCATTTTCATTCTCTTGCGAATAATTGCTGTAAAATGTACATCATCCATGAAGAAAACTGAGCACCACTCAGGGGCCGCTTCCTTAAGTCTTGGCTTCACTACGCGTCGATCTGTTACGTCATCCTTCCTCACATCACGACATGTATCGGATAAATCAAGTTGAAGTTTTCGAAACGTTTTCAAATCTTCCTCAAAGCTGGGTCCATACCCCTTCACCTTCCCCCAGAACGTTCTATTGAAACGCTCGTACAACTTTACATCTGCAGAATTCCATGACCGGATCTGCGCGCGCACGTCGTCGGTCAGTGGTTCGCGAAAACCTGGTTGCCTCGCTCCTCTTGATATATATCTTAAATCGTCTAAACTCCAATGCATCAATTTACTTAGAAGCACCATCGACTCATCGAAATACTCGGTGATCATCACGAGATCAAGCTCATCCTGGAGACGATCTATCTTGCCATCGATGGTCGAAGGATCATCCATGTCGTTGAGATCAACTCCTAAATCGAAAAGCTGTTGATTGTGCATCCGCTTCTCTGTAAACTGCATATTTTTTCTCCTCATCAATTTGAAATTGTTCTCAGGGTCCTCAAAGAACCCCCCTAACGAGTTTTTCCCGCTGGAAGATACTTAAACATTTCGAAATAGTAGAACATGGATTCAAATTGAGTTACAGGGTCGCGTAATATGGTGACGTACCTCGCCTCATGGAATACTCCATCCATATCCGTGCGACTATAACGGGCGTGGTTCGTAAGGAAGTTGAACAACGTTTCCCTCTCTCTTGCAGACTTGGATGAGAGACCTTGGACTTTGGACAGGTCGAAGTGATGATACGTGTCAAGGATATGTCCACATTTCGGCATGAGGAAAGAGAGATCTTTGAGGTAGCCATACCGCTGCAGGACCGAAGTAACGGTGGAGGATGCCGTCTTGTGTGTCTTCAGGAATACCAGACGTGGCTGCTTAAGGGTGGGTATAGTCTTTGAGTCATTGAGGATTGGATGACGCACGCTGTTGATTGGCTGTGGCATTGGTCGTTCTGACTCCTCAAATTCTTGTTGAATCCCATTCCTGACAAACAAACCAAACCAAAAAACAAACAAAAATGATGCCTACTATTGCATTTGCATTCCTGCCGAATATGATGTTATCATCACTATTATGATTATTTTATTAATATCAATATTATTATCTCGTTTTTGTTGCTGTTATTATAATTGTTACCATTATTTTTTCAAGATACTGTGATGTGGTAAAATATCAAATGCAACGCTGTTCTTGTTATACCGAAAGGTCTGTTCAGATACGATGTGGCAAAAACGTTGCGGTTCTGCTTTATGCTGACGTAATTCTAACAGCAGTGGTTTTGGGGGGAGGGTGGGGGGGGGGGATAGGGGAGGGAGGGAGGTGAGAGAGAGTGGGGTGGTTTACCCCCGTCCCCCCCCCCCCCCCCACTCAAAGATATTTAGGATATACGCGTATGCATGTTCCCTCCCTTTGAAACACCCCCCTAAGTCCGGAGTGTAAAGTCAATATGAGCCGGACTTTGTTGCGTGAAAAGTACCCCTTTACCGGACATTTTAGGAACATGAATGCGGTCCCTCCGTTCCTGGAGTGAGGGGGCCGGGAGTTTACCGTGTCATAATAGGGACTTTTAGATTTGCGTGGACTGATACGTGTGACGTCCATTCAAGGCAGTGCATTAAAAGGACGTCGAAAGTAGCGATCCACATTGTCTTCGTGCAAATCTAAAATTCCTAATATCTAAACAAGCCTTCGACGCAAATAAATCGCCGATTCTTGGCAATCAGGGGATATCGATGTTTTGTTTGGTTTGGTATCGATCTCATCGGTGTGAAAGGGATATAATCAATTAAAAGACCGACATAACTTATCCTTTTTGAGTGGTAAGGTACATTGGATTAGGTTCATCTGACATGTGCTCCAGGCTGTATTTCGTAAATGATGTAGGTTTTTAGGTAGTGCGGTTACTGAGACTTCAACTATCATCTGGTCCTCGAACTCACACCCGCTATGGAGATCGTGCCTTCTCTGTATGTGCTCCTAAACTCTGGAATAATCTCCCCGTCTCTGTCCGTGAATCCCCAACTCTTGACACTTTTAAACGTAGACTTAAGACCTATCTATTCAACACGAAGTAATTGTCCATCATCATACCGTATTTATAACCACATGTCCTATCTTCTTGTAATTTATTTATTGTTTAATGTACATAAGTATTGCAGTTTCATTAATGATACTTAATTATTGTATTTACATTTTCATTTTTCATTATCATGTTATTGTTATACATTGTTAGTCAAGTAATTCGTCCAAATTAAGCGCATTGTTCATTTCACGTTTCTTGTTGATCCTTGTTACATATTTAGTTTAACCGTACTTTTCATTTCACTTGTTTTGTAAAGCGCTTAGAAACTGTACTTGTATACCAGCGCTATATAAATCTTAATTATTATTATTATTATTATTATTAGGGTTGTGCTTTCACGTCAGTCTGATTGTGTTTTTTGAAGGGCAAGGTACGATGTTTTGTCATGAATTGAAGTAAGGAGTAAGCTAGATTTGAAGAAAAGGTGAACGCGGAGCATGAAGTCGGTGGAGCACTATGTCATAGACCCCCTATCTTTGTTAGCTTTGCCTACACCAAGGGTAATAAAGTACACTGCTAAGAACCAAAAAGCGTACGGTCTGTGTAAAAGGATAAGAGTTAAACTCTTCTGGGGAGCGTTTCACGAAACCGTCACAAACCCATTGACCCGCGTGTATTCAAGTTTAAACGCATTTCTGGCGGCTAACTTGTACGTGTGATAACGGTTTCTTGAAACGTTGCCTGGATCGCAGCAAACAAGACTTGATTTCGATTACAAGACCTCCCAGTCCCGAGACTCTCATTTAACCTTTAACCTTTACAATAGAGAACAAATTATTACAAAGGATTTTACTTTCACTCACGTAGTAAGAATTGCCGCCACCCCATCTGCCACTGTGCTCATCAGGTAAAGTGACATGGCAACTAATACCACCATGGTAATGCAAGCCGCTGTGAAATTTCCTGGCGAGATCCTCATGTTCTCTACGGTTGGTTAGGGTGAAGAAGAAATGGAAGGACGGCAATTGGAAGATTTCTTGTCTCATGGTGCCGTGAATGCAGTACGATTCTTCCTGAGATTTTAGCTAGATTTTGCAGGAACTTCCTTGTAAAAAAGGAAAAATAAGAAAGAGTAATCATGCATACCCGTCAGGGACGGTGGTATAATAATCTATTAAAGTCCACTCCAAATGTTATTAAACCGAAAATGGAAATTCTTTTTGCACAATTGATCATGAGCCCGGCAGCCACTGAGCAGCGCCAGATCGACGTTGCTCTATCCCCTTAGTAGGGACTTTTAGATTTGCGTGGACTGATACGTGTGACGTCTCTCCAAGGCAGTTCACGTCGATCGTAGCAATCCCCATTGTTTTCGTGTGAATCTAAAAGTCACTATTGTTGAACGCCAAACAAGGAAGCAGCAACTCCCGTCTTTTAACGTCTTTTGGCATGACGCGGCCGGGGTTCGAACCCACGACCTCCCGGTTGTGAGGCGGGCGCTCTATTGACTGAGCCAACACACCGATCGATCTGAACACAATTCTGTGTGCGCGCTCGTGTGTGTTAAGTAAGGTGTAGCGGAGGGGTTGAGGGTCCTGTAGGCTGTAGCCTACTCCACCATCCCAACCCCGTCCGAGAATTTTAAATTTACTAATATTTAGACGGGCCTGTAATCAAGCGCGGATCCAGGATTTCTTAGGGGGGGGGGTCCCCCTTCCTCCTCCGGAAAGCGCCGAAACTTTGACGTTTCATTAGGGTAAGCAACTGTTAAACGAATTTATCATGAGTCCTTGAAAAAATTAATTAATACTGCTTGTCACGTATTATTGCAGAGCAGCAAAGACGAACACGATTGTCGTTACAATTCAGAAATCGTTGCTTGGATGCTTTTCTCTCAAAATTACCATAAGATATCAAGCTACATAGAACTATGATCGACATAAAAGATATTGTCTTGAAAACAGTCAGAATGAATAAAACATAATGCAAACGAATAAGACTAGAATGAATAGGACACAAGTTCATTTTTAACATTTAAATCATCCAGTACCAATACCTAAGCAAAATTCGAGCCAGATGCATTTAATGGTAAGCGTAAAGACAATGATTCATGACAATTGTCAATTGTCATGAATTTTTATACACGGGAGATTTCGTTGTTAATCTCATATTCATTCAATATACTGTACATGTACATTTTGGAAATACACATAAGATAAAAACTTAAAGATACTTTGTCCCTTTTGCAGCCAACATCATATTCTGTAGAACTTTGCAGGAACTATGAATATTGTCATATTGTCACGTTCACAGTGTCCTAGTATTCAAATTATGAAAGGAAACCCGTTTACTTTCTAGACTTCCCTGTCAGACACTATTGAGTAACTGACTGACATATTTTACTCTTTGGAAGTAAGATACATAAAATGAGCTGTAACAGGTACATGAGCATTTGTCTACATCAATAACCCATTACTTGTAATGGCCAACATTAAACTGATGGAATCTTTGTGCAGCACAAAACGTACGACTATTCGATACAAGTATCCGAAAATCAGACTATTACTTAGGTGATTGCAATCACTTATATCGATTCGGTAACTAATTATTTTCCCACAAAACGCCATTTTCAAACCCTATCGTTTTGAGGGAAGGCTATTAAGTATTGACTTTTAAATGCCGTTGGAATTTAACCTTTTCATTTTTTTGAAATCAATAATTGAAATTATTTTTGAAGAAAGCATACAACTCAGAGAAGTATAGTGGTGAAAGTTTGAATGAAATCGGACAAAAAATGGGGAAGTTGTGAATTTTTGAAAGTTATAATCACCAGAAATGTGGGCACTTGATTGGCTGAATTATCGGTATAGTCTCTGTAATATTGTGCCGGACAACTTTCCCATTTATTTGTTCCAAACCCCGCCCCCCCCCACTCAGTGTTATTTAGGGTACGCATATGCGTGTTCCAACCGACCCCCCCCCCCCCCTTTCAGCAAAAGTCCGGTGTGTAAAGTCAATACGGGTCGACCTTTTTCTTTTGTTACGAAAAGGACATTTTGGCAACACGCATGGGGTCCGTCCGTTCTCGGAGTGGGGGGGGGGGGGGGGGCGGGTTCCAAACACACACAATAATTTACTACAATTTCACTTTTCTTCTTCAAAATGTTTGACTTAGAAGGATCTTTTCTATTCGTAGGACCTATAACAATATAATATCCATATATTTGAGTGTAGTGCCTAAAATGAGAAGGCCCTTATCATAATTGAGAGAAAACCAGAAATTAGTAAATTTTATGTACGCGACAAACGGCAGAGTTGCCCGTGATTACGTCACAATCCACCGACAAAATGGCCAATTTGAAATTCACATATACATGTATATATAGTGATCTCATATTTCAAATATTCATAATTGTATTTATTATTGGTCCGATTTCAAACTTAATTTCACCATTCTGTTTCGATTATTTGTCTGCTTAGTTCATACAAAATAATGAACTTATTACAAGGGTCAGATTTAATACCTGACTACATGGAGCACGAATGGTAAGTCTTTCCAAAAAAAAACTTTTGACAATTTCAGTAGCCTTTTAGGTATCATCGCATTGTGACATCACAACAATAACGTATTACGAAATGTACGGTTTTTATGGAGTATACAATAAGTACAGTATACTCTATATACATATATATATATATATATATATATATATACATATATATATATATATATATATATACATATATAGGATGTAGGAGTTGCCCTTGAGTTGATATTCAAACGTCCTTTCGGTCGTGTCTTTCGTTTTGTAACTATCCTTCGCTTTCTTGTAGTATTTGTATTTTCATACTACTTTGCGTTCCTGGAAATAAAATCAAATAATGTTTAACAAGATTAAGAGATGACGCATTTTCTTACCCCATCCACGCAAATAGTCGTAATGTATTAAAGATCAAGCAGGCATCAACCGGCACGTACCCATCATGAAGACGGACATCACGGAGGAGATACGGCAGCCGGAGTCCAGTGATGCGGGTGAATGAATGAGTGAGTGCATAAATAATGGTGTTATGACATTACCATCCGACTTAGCTACGTGATCATATATAAGGCCAAGCGAAATTGGTTCTTAGTTTCCCTTCCCGGTTTTTCGAAAATGCGGGGTTGGCGCTCTTCAGATATTTGATAGTTGGTACGTGATCATATATAACGTCAATTAATTTAGATTCTAGAGAGGGTGGGGGGGGGGGGGGGGGGTTGGTGAGCACTATTTTGTCTTTTGTTCAGGGGGGATGTTGAGTATTTAAAAAAAGTGCTCCATACCCCCATTGAGTACACAAATTAGTCTCCCCCCCCCCCCCCCCGCTCAGACGCTGCCTGCTGGATCCGCCCTTGTCTTAGTCTAAAATGAGGAGGAGGAAGTTTCAGTTTCATTTGATATTTACTGTGATCATTATAAGGCCAAGATAAAATTGTTTTATAACTTCACACAGGGAAAAAAAATCATTAAACAAATTTCGGGGGCTACTTTTCAATCTTGCTTGCATAAAAATAACACGCTTTAATTTGTTTTGCATTAAACTCTATGCAAATTTTGGGGGGCTCTTTTATGACTTTCGGGGGCTCTTTTTGGCATTTCGGGGGCCAATTCGTCCATTCGCCCATTCGTGCAGGAATGGGCGAAAATGAATTCTGACAAGGATTAAGATACACACACGCGCGCACACACATGCACATACACACACACACGCCCACGCACAGAGCTGGAGGTAAAACAGGGATCATGAAGAGGGAACAGGAAACGAAATTTAATTTCACTTTGGCCAAAGTTGCATTGTGACCCCGTGTATGATGCTTTTCGGAAACCAATGGAGGTAGCTGAACTGAAAGCCCGAACACAGCTGGGTGAAGGAATACTCGCATGACCCCGCGACCGTGATCATTACATCGGAGAAGTGACAGGTATGCCAAGAGTTGTGGAGGGACAAGCCGCTGGAGTGGATGAGGAGATGTTACCCCCTTTTTTAGTGCAATCATTAGTTACATGAGCGCAGTGACAGGTACGTAGGCTATATAATATGCAAGTAGGTGTCGAGAGGTGAGATGGGGTAAGGGGGGGGGGGGGTCATCTGCCCCCCTTTTTGACCGCAATCATTATCGTTACCTCAACGGAGTGACAGGAATGCCATGCTGAGATCTTGTTGAGGGGTGATCAAGCTCAAGCTAGCTGGGGTGTATAGGGGAGATGCTACCCCTCCCCCCCCCCCCCTCGGCCGCAGTCCTTAGTTTGCTCAGCAAAGTGATAGGTATACGGGGAGTTGTTGTGAATACAGATGGCACTATTCGCCCCTCTCAAATTTAGCGTCATCATGGTCTTGAAATTACAGCGAATTTGGACAAATTGGCAATCTTGAGCTCTCACTGGTATTCATGGGAATCTTATTTTGAGAGAAAATTGTTAAAACTAAGCATTTTAGAATGGATAAGTGTATTAATGGTTACGGCTTAAGAACTTTGTAGAAGTCGTGATATTAAAATTGTCAATGGAAGGTTTGGATGTGATGATGGTATTGGGAATAATACTTGTCATACCGCAAAAGGGTCCAGTGTAGTAGATTATGTTCTGGTTTATCAATATCTATATATGCCTAAGATTATTAACTTTCATCTAGATGTGTTGGATAAATGCTTGTCTGAAGTGCTGTTGCTGTTCAATTTTGTTTTAAAACAAATAATTAGGTCACCGTGGATCCTGTTGATCATGCATACCCAACGTGATGAACCGGTCACCCAATATGATATCACGTTTAAACCTCTTCAAAGTTCAAACTATGTGGAATAAAGACCTTTAAGTTGTTTATAAAAATGAGTTCAATATGAATGAGATTAAGACTATTGATGAATAAGGGACCTAGACTTTACTTCGGTTACTCAGGGTGAATTAGATAGTATTGTTGATGATTTAAACAATTTATGCATTGATACTGCCAAATCTTTCGGAATGTGTGAACTTGAGGGAATGAGTATTCATAAGTCTCGTAATTTCACCAATCTAAGTCCTTCAAAGAAGAAACCTTGGTTCCATTAGTCATGTGAC